TGTCCGACAATAGCTCGACGCGGCCGCGGAGGCGCGGCTCCTCGCCGAGTTCCCGCAGCCCCATATCATGATCCGCAAGCAGCAGCAGGAGGCGGCGGCCGCGAAGGAGACGAATCAGAAGGCCGGCGGCAAGAAGAAGAAGGGCAAGAAGAAGCGCTAGGGAGGGGGTACGGCTGTGTGCTCTCGCTCGCGCTCGCGTCGGGGCGTAGAGAGAGGCAGCATGGCCACGTGTGACTCGGCGTTTGAGCTCGTCGCTGTGGCAATACTCGACGCGTACTTCGATCTTCGGTATATTATAGCGGCGGTGCCTGCCAAACCGGCGCAGCGCGGCGGGATTGGCGATGCATTAATATTAAATGAATTTTCAACTATCGCGCGTCCACTGATCGATGCCGGTTTGGCGGGTTTGGCGGGTTTGGCCGCCTCTGCCACAAGCAGCTGTGCTGACTCCACACAAACCAGTATGGCGCCCGCGTCCTAATATCCGCGCGCCCCGCGATGAAACGGGCTCGGCCGCTCGCCCGACGCCCCCGGCGACCCACCATCCTCCCCGCGCCACCCGGCAACGCCAAAAAGGGCGCCCCCAACCCCGCCGCCCGTCGAAACCCCCGGTCGAGCGATGATGAATCCAAACTGAACGACGACCCCGCGCGCCCGCCGCAGCACACACACACACCTCCTTTCACACCATGGACATCGAGAGCGCGCACCGGCGTCCCGCGACGACGCCCGACCCGCCGAAGAACCGCGCGCGCGCGCGGAGAACGCGCGCCGTTCTGGAGGCGTCAAGGGCCGGATCGTATGAATGACCCCCGCGCCCGCAGGCATCAAGGGCAAGATCGACGAGCTCCTCGTCAAGCTCCCGGAGCCGGCGCAGGCCAAGCTCGCGGACCTCGAGAAGTCCACGGGCCAGCCCAAGTCGCTCATCGCCGGCGGCGGCGCGGTTTTCGCGTCGCTCCTCTTCCTCTTCCTCTGCGCGTTTCCCCGCGTCCGTCCCGCCGTCGCGCCGCGGCGCGGCCGCCCGTCCCTCGCCCCGGCGGCGGCGCCTCGCGGCCCCTCTCTCGCGCGCGCGCGCGGAACGTTCGCGGAACCGCGCGCGTTCCCCAGGCCCGCCGCAGCTCGTCTTCTCGGCCGTCGGCGTCGCCTACCCCATGTACGCGTCGCTCCTCATGCTCGCCGAGGACACGACGGAGGACGCGGCCATGTGGATCACCTACTGGTGCACGTTCACGTGCTTCAAGATCGTCATGGGCCCGCTCGACTTCATCCTGAGCTTCCTCCCCTTCTACTTCTACCTCAAGCTCACGCTCCTCGTCTGGCTCTTCTCCCCGACGACCAAGGGCGCCGCCATGGTCTACGAGAAGGGCGTCAAGCCCTTCGTCTTCCCCCTCCTCGTCGGCCCGAACGAGAAGTCGGACTAGGCGCGCCGCGACCCCCCCGGCCCCGCCGACTCGCTCCCGGACGGGCGAGGCGCGGGCCAACCACACGACCCACCACCATACCCCCGCACGCCCCCCGTTGTATACTAGCTTTTTGCTGCAGCGCGTCTGCCCGGGCCCTCGGCGCGGCGCGTGCGCCGAACGCTCGACCAATGAAAAGCCTGGATTTCGGGCTGCGACGATGCAGCCCGGAAGGATGCGTCCGCCATCGGCCATGGGCAGCGGCCTGATGCGACGATAAAGCCTGTAGGCTGTGTCACGATTGCAGCACGCGCCGACAACCGGGAGCAGCGGATCGATGGCGACGCTGTCCATCCTCCAGACCTACCACCGCCTGTCGTCCTATTTCGTCGGCGCGGAGGACGTCATGGACGCCGTCGTCCCGCCTCTGTGGCTCGACGACGTCGATTTTGAGCACCCCGACCTCGTCGCGCGCCACCTCGCGGCCGGCGGCGACGCCGCGCGGCGGCTCCGCGACGGCGCGACGCTTTTGCACCGCGTCGCCGGGCGGTCCGCGCACGGCGACGCGGCGGTCGCGGCCGCGGCGTCCGCGCTCCTCGAGCACGGCGCGGACGCGGACGCGGCCGACGCGCAGGGGTGGACGGCCCTCATGGTCGCCGCCGACGCCGGCCGCGCGGCCGTCGTCGCCGCGCTCGCGGCGCGCGGCGCCGCCGTCGACGCGCGGAATCGCGCGGGCGGCACGGCGCTCATGGTCGCGCGCTACGCGGGGCAGGGCGCGTGCGCGTCCCGGCTGCTCGACGCGGGCGCTGACGCGGCGCTCGTCGACCGCGCGGGCCACACGGCCGACGACTGGGCCGCGCTGCGGCCCCGGCCGCGGCGCGGCCGGCGGCACCTCGCGAGATAAAAAGACGGGTTACGCCGCGGGGGGCGCCTCGGAGAGCGCCGGAGCCCGGGGAGGCGCCACGGCGAGCACCTCCGCGGGGGGCGCCTCGGAGAGCGCCGGAGCCCGGGGGGGCGCCACGGCGAGCACCTCCGCGGGGGGCGCCTCGGAGAGCGCCGGAGCCCGGGGAGGCGCCACGGCGAGCACCTCCGCGTGGGGGACCGGGTCGGGCGCTCCGGGCGCTCCGGGGTCCGCGCGCGGCGCGGCGCGCGCGATGGCGCGGATGCGCTGGCGGCAGATGGGGCAGCCGTCGCGGCGCGCGCGGAGCGCCTCGAGGCACGCGGCGCAGCAGGACACGTGGCCGCAGGGCTCGGCGACGGCGTCGGCGCGCGCCGCCGCGCAGACGCAGCACTCGCCGCGCGCCGCGGCGTAGAAGACCCTCTTCCGCGCCGCCGCCGAGGCCGCGAGGAGGGACCGGATTTCCGCCGACGTGTCCTCGGCGACGGCCTCGTCCGCGCGCGCGACGTAGTCGACGTGGTCCGAGAACGCGTTGTTGTCCGGGTCGAAGAGCAGGTCGCGGTCGTCGTCGGCGCGCGCCTTCGACGTCACGGCGAGCGCGCACGTGCCGTCGTCGTCGACGCCGCCGCGGACGAGCAGCGCGCGGACGAGCGCCGCGTGGCCGCCGTGGCAGGCCCAGTACAGCGGCGTGCGCCCGTCGTAGACGGCGCCCGCGGAGTCGCGGAGCGGCTCCGGGCCGTTGGGCGACGCGTCGCCGCCGTCGACGAGGGCGACGACGCCGGCGACGTCGCCGCGCTTCGCGAGCTCCCAGACCGTGGGGTCGCCCGGCGCGTCGGCGGCCGCGCGCGCCGCCGCGACGGCCTCCGCGCGGCCGGCGCCGTCGTCCGGCCGGCGCCGCACGTCGCGCGGCCGCGTGCCGACCTGCAAGAAGCCGTCCTCCCACAAAATCGTGCAGCCGTCGGGGTCCGCGGACCGCAATTTCCCGTAGCGCCACCGCGTCGTCCACTTGTAGCGCGCGACGACGCGCGCGCCGGCGCTCCGCGCGTAGGAGCCGTCGACGAACTGCGGCGCGTCGGGGTCCTCCTCGGCGTCGGCGAGCACCGTGGCCGACGCGGCGGCGAGCGCCGCGACGCCGACGGTCGGGTTTTCGGTGCGGCGCTCCTCAGACTCCGACGGCGCCGCGCCGGAGCTCCGGCGGCACCAGCGCCAGAGCGCGGCCAGCATCGCCGCGCACCGGTTTGCACGAAAGCTGCGGACCGGGTGCGGCGCCCGACGGCGGACTGCGCTGGTCAGGGGGCTGCCGGAGAGCGTCGAACGCGACATCATGTTGATGTCAAGTTGCCTCAACAACAAGCAAAAAAGTAGGGTGGCGCCCGGCGAGAGGAAAAAAGGGACACGCTCAGGAGATGGCGCAGGTCTCGGACCGGTGGTCGCGGAGGGAGTCGTCCCAGGCGACGGCGTCCTCGTCTGCGTTCGCGAACTCGTAGTCGAAGGGCCGCGCCTTGTCCGCGCGGAGGAACTCGACGACGTCCGCGTCGAAGGCGGCGCCGTGGACGAAGTCCCAGTCGTCGTAGGCCGCCGCGAGCTTGCCCTTGGCGCGCGCGTCCTTGACGGCCGACGCGAGCGTGCTGCTGAGCGTGTTGTCGCGCTCGATGTTGCTCCACATGTCGGAGTTCACCGCGGCCTTGGGCGCGACGGGCGGCGCCGCGGCGTCCGCCTCCACGGCCGCGAGGTACTCGGGGAGCTGGAACCAGCCGTGGGCCAGCACCTCGAGGGCGCCGGCCATGGAGCCGAGGCGCCGCGCCGGGTCCTTGGCCAGCAAGCCGCGGACGAGGTCCCTCGCGACCTCCGACGGTTCGAACGGCGGCTCGCCGTCGTCGTCGTCGTCGTCGTCGTCGTCGTCGTCGTCGAGCTTCTTCGCCGCCGCGTCCTTGGGCTCCGCGGGCGCCGCCGGCTCGACCTTCGCTTCGAAGGTCGGGTCCATGAATCGCGTCGCGAGCATCATGTTCTCCTTCGGGTCGTCGCCGCCGCGGAACTCCTTCGCCGCGGCGCCGCGGAAGGGGCACCGGCCGTAGAGCAGCTCGTAGAGCACGCAGCCCAGGGAAAAGAAGTCGACGGCGGGCGTCTGCCGCGCGCCGCCCGCGCAGACCTCCGGCGCCATGTAGCCCACGGTGCCGTTCCGGCCCCGCGGCCGCGCGGCGCCCGCGTGCTCGCCCGCGCGGCCCGCGTCGGCGACCGCCGCCACGCCGAAGTCGCCGAGGAAGGACCGGCCCTGGCCGTCCAGCAGCACGTTCGCCGGCTTGACGTCGCGGTGGATGAGCCCCTTCTGGTGCACGTCGCGCAGCGCGAACGCGACGCGGGCGACGTGGTAGCGCGCGCCCGCCTCGCCCAAGGTCCGCCGCCCGCCGACGCGCGGCGCGCGCCGCAGCAGCATCTCGAGCGTGCCGCCGGCGTAGTAGGGCACGACGACGCACGCGTGCTCGGGCGTCTGGAACGCGAAGTGCAGCGTGATGCAGAACCGCGACGCCGTCAGCAATTTGAGGCAGACCTTCTCCATGACGACGTTGTGCTCGCGGCGCAGCGCTTTGCCGATGTACTTGGACATGGCCTTGACGGCGAAGAGCTTGCCCGTGGCCTTGTGCGCGACGCAGTAGATGGGGCCGAAGGTGCCGCGGCCGACGGGCTTGACGCGCTCGAAGGCCTCGCCTCTGGGCGGGACGCGCCGCAGCGCGGCGAAGCGCGCGTAGTTGGCGTGCTGGAGGCTGGCGAAGAAGCCCGCGCCGTGCGCGGCCGCGACGCTCGCGAAGACGGCCCGCTCCACGGCGCCGACGAGCGACAGGCACCGCGACAGGTCCGTCAGGTCCGCGACGGCCTCCTCCGGGTCCGCGTCGGCGACGACGGACGTCGGCGACGGCGGCGGCCGGCCGTCGCCCTCGTCGTCCGTCGCGGCCTCGTCGAACGTGTCGGCCCTGCCCGCGCGGCGCTTCGCGGCCGCGCGGCGGACGCGGCGGCGGCGGCGCGCGCGGTGGAGGAGGAGCCGCAGCTCCTGGCAGACGCCGTCGAAGACCGGGCCCGCGACGTCGAGCACCGCGGGCGACGCGCCGACGCGCTTGACCTCGGCGTCGAGCGGGCCTTCGACCGTCTTCGACGGCGGCCGCGGCGCGAGCGCGGGCGGGTCCGCGGCCCAGAGGGGCCATTTCTGGCGGCCGTCGCCGGGCGGCGCCTCGAGCGCGGACGTGCGCCCCGCGGCGTCGAGCTGGCGCAGGTCGAAGAGCTTCTCGCGCCACCACTCGCGGCGCGGCGCCTTGAAGAGGCGCAGCGACGACCGCCGCGCGGACCGGGGCCGCGCCGCGCGCCACCAGCAGCCCCGCGTGGGCGTCGCCGGCCGGAACGACGGCAGCGTCGGCAGGCTCGACCGCCGCGGCGCGGCCGCGGGCTCCGGCGCCGCGCCGCGGGGCTCCGCCGCGACGTCCTTCCGCGACCCCAGGAGGTCGGCGACGACGACGCGCCGCGCGGCCTCCCAGAGCGCCTCGGGGCCGAGGGCGCTCGACGCGAGGCCCGCGGCGCGCCGCAGGAAGGCCGCGCGCTCGGCGGAGCCCCGGTCCGCGGCGTAGTCCAGAAACAGCTCGAGCCCCAGGATCGTCGAGCAGACGGCCTCCAAGCTTTCCGGGGGGGCGGCGACGCCCGGAGGCGGAGTGGGCCAGCGCTCCGTCGGCGGCGGCTTGGCGACGAGATACGTGAGGAGCTTCTCGTCGTAGCCGACGTTCAAAATCATGGAATTCACTTCCTGAAAGCCGACGCCCGAGTCGAGCCACTCGTCGTTCATCCGCCGCTCCATGTCCTTGAAGTGGCCCCGGTTCGCGTCGAGGGCCGCCGCCGCCGCGAAGGCGTCCTCCTTGCACTCCTCGACCATCGGAGCTGGTCGGCCTTCTCCCGCAGTCGAGGCTGCCCGAGCGAAAACATGGGGGTTTCATCGCGTCACCGTCGGCTTCGTCGAACTTTACCCCCCGCGGGCCCGCGGGCCGCCGGGCTTCCGGCCGCCGCCGCCGCCGGGTTTCGCCGCGGTGAAGTGGTTCGCGCGGGCGGCGTGCATCAGGGACGCGACGTTGAGGGAGATCGTCGGCCCGCACCAGCGCCGGCGCTGCCACTCGCCCCAGTGGACGCGCGACGCGACGGCGTCGGCGAGGTCCATGCCCAGGTTCTTGAACTGGACCTCGCCCCGCGCCTCGTGCGACCTGCGGATGCTCGCCTGGTCGCGGCGCACGTGGACGACGAGCGGCGGGGCCTCGCGCGCGAAGACCTCGGGCCAGAGGTGGAGCGCCCAGACGAAGCGCGGGTCCTTGAGCACCGCCGGCCGCGGGTAGAGCGCCCAGCGCCGCTTGAGCTGCGGGTGGTCGCTCACGACGCAGCGGCCGAGCGCGTAGTGGCGCGCGGCGACGTCGCCGCACGCGCGCGACGCGTTCGCGGCGTTGACGTTGACCTTGTCGACGCGCGTCTTCTGGATGAACATGTCGTTGGCGTGGACGACGAAGCCGTCCTCGTGCTTCTGCGTGAAGTGGCGCTCGAAGCCCGCCGTCGCCGTCCACTGCGTCCAGCCGAGCTTGAGGATCTCCGCCGTCACCGTGCTCGTCCCCGAGTGGCCCGCGCCGAGGACGAGGATCGTCGGCCGGTGCGACTCGTTGACGCCCGCGTCCGCGAGCATGGCCGCGACGGACTCGACGCGGCTGCCGTCGGCGTAGACGCGGGCGTAGAAGTCGCGGCCGCAGGGCTCCAGGGCCGCCGGCGCCGGGTTCGCGCAGGCGCGCGGTTTGAGCTTGCCGATGGCCTGGCTCTTGGCGGCGTTCCCGCCGCCGCCGCCGCCGCGGGGCGGCCGCCGCGGCTGCGCGGCTGCGAACACGACGAGGCCCGCGAGCAGGCGGGCTGCCGCCGGCATCGCGATGCTTTTCAACCGGTACGCCAATGGTGCAGCATTCAAGCATCGTCATTGACCTTCGGGGCAGCTCTCAGCTCTCCCGCACTGCGAAGGTCAGACCTTTTCTGGCGGCGGCCATCGGTGGCGCGCGGCGCCGCCGCCGGCGCTCTCGCACGCATGGCGCTCCCCGCGCTCGACGGCATCCGCGCCTCCTGGAACGACACCTGCAACTACGACAACCTGAACCGGAGGCGCGTCACGCCGCAGCGCTTCCCCGTCGTCCTCGAGCCCGCCGGCGACCCGTCGGACCTCGCCGTGCTCCGGGCGCGGCGAAGTGAAATCATGGACCTCATCCACGCCCACGGCGCCGTGCTGCTGCGCCGCTGGACCACGAAGGAGCTGCCCGCGTTCGTCGAGAGCTTGGAGCGGGTCCTCGGCGCCGAAGCCGAGGGCACGCACTACCACAAGATCTCCATGCTCCGGGGCGAGGGCCGCAAGGCGACGGCGCATCCCCACGTCTTCTCCGCGTCCGAGGCGCCGGCGACCTTCTTCATCCCGCACCACTGCGAGCAGTCGTACATCAACCTGCGGTGCCGCTACATCTCGTTCTGGTGCCCCGTGGCCGCAAAGCGGGGCGGCCAGACGCCCCTCTTCGACATGGAGCGCGTCTTCTCCGACCTCGACGCGCGGCTCCAGGGCCGGCTCCAGGAGTGCGCGTTCAAGCTCGGCAACTGGAGCTTCGAGGCGTCGCAGTACCCGCTCGTCTTCGGCACCGAGGACGCGGCCGAGGTGAAGCGCATCGTCGCCGACTACGGCATGGACCAGGTCTGGTACACGGACCCGGCCACGGAGCGGCGCGTGCTCGTCGTGGACGGGAAGACGCCGGGCGCCGTGCGGCACCCGGAGACGGGCGCGTGGTGCCTCACGGACCACATCGACGTCGACAGCGGTTTGATCTGGGCGAGGTTCCTCAACTTCTACGGCGCGGGCTTCTTCCCGCTGGCGGTCGTGCGCGCGGCGTTCTTCCTTTTCCTCTACGGTCTCATGCGGTGGCGGAACTCAGGGCAGGACAAGAGAGCGAAATTCCCAACTTCAAAGCCTCATATCTCGGCCGTTTCCACTCGTTTTGGCTGATTTTTGGACGAGCGATCATCTCTTGGAACGGTCTCGAAGCGTGGATGCTTTCTTCGGAACGCGCGCGCGCAGAACACTCACTTTGAAGCGACGTTGAATCTCTCTTGTCCTGCCCAGGCGGAACTTCTGGTACGCGAACTCGCTGCACGACACGTTGGACATGACGCTCCCGCTCGAGGACCGCGTGGCCATCAACGACGCCGTCTTCCGCCACGCGTCCTTCTTCCAGTGGGAGAGCGGCGACGTGCTCATCTGCGACAACATCAAGATGGGCCACGCGCGCCTCGCGTTCGAGCGGCCGCGGACGGTGCTCACGGCCATGGTCGGGCTCTACGACGCGCAGGCGGGGCGCGACAAGTGCGCGCCCAAGTGCGTGGAGTATTAGCGTCGAGCTAGAAGGAGTTACGTCGGCGCCCAGGACACGGCCTTGCGCCGCTTCGGCGACCGCGCGGGCCGCGCGGCGACGTCGCGGAGCTCGTAGGGCACGGGCGGCTCGGGCTCCGAGTCCGCCGCGCGGACGAAGCCCGCTCTCCCCGGCCCGGCGGGCGCCGCGGCCGCCGCGGGCCCGGCGTCGTAGCGGTGGCGCGCGAGGTCCGCGGCGGCCTCGCGGCGCTGGAGCGGCGTCATGCCCGCCGCGGGCCCGCGCGGCGCCGGCCGGTGGCCGAGGCCCGCGCGGTCGAACTTCGGCTCCACCAATTCCCAGACGCGCACCTTGCCGTCGTCGACGGGCGGCGGCGGCGGCGGCGGCGCGGCGGGCGCGTCGTCGGCGCGCCGCGCGGCGGCGAGGGCGGCGGCGAGGCGTCCGCGCTCCGCGGCGAGCGCCGCGTCGACGTCGCGCGCCGCGCCGCGGCGGAGCGCGTCCGCGAACGCGGCGCTCGCGACGGGCGCGCGCGCCGTCACGGCCGGCGTCGCCGCGACCGGCGCCGGCGCCGCGGGTGTCGCCGGCGCCGGCGCCGCCGCCGCGACGCGCTCGAGCGTCAGCGTCGTCGCGCCGAGGACGAGCGCGTCGCCGACGGCGAGCCGCGCGCCGTCGACGGAGAGAGGCGCGCCGCGGACGGCGCAGGTCCGCTTCGTCGCGCGGCGCCCGCGGACGACGGAGACGACGGGGAAGGCGTCGTCGCCCGGCGGCGGCTCGCGGACGGCGACGTCGACGACCACGGAGCCCCGGACGTCGCGGAGCGCGAGCGCGCCGTCGTCGCCGACGGCGCACGGCACCGCGACCGTCCGGCCCCGGCCCGCGCCCGTCGTCGGCGTCGTCCGGGCGACGACGAGCGCGTACGCAGCCGGCGGGAGGTCGGCGCCCGCCGCCGGCGCGGGCGCCGCGCGCGGCGGCGGCGGGCCCGGCCCGCGGCGGCGCGCGAGGAACGCGGCGTTGCGCGCGGCGACCTGGGCAGGAAAAGGGTGCGAAATTCCCAACTTTGGAGGCTCCTATCTCGGTCAGTTTCCACTCGTTTCGGCTGATTTTGGGACGAGCGATCATCCCTCGGAGCGCTCTCGACGCGTGGATGCTTTTTTCCGGAACGCGCGCGCGCGGAACACTCATGTTGAAGCAAACTTGAATCACCCTTTTCCTGCCCTGGGCGGCGACGTCCGCACGGCCGCCGTAGCCGTCGTACCACCGCGACGCGTAGGCGGCGAAGGGCACGCCGGGCGAAACGTCGGCGCCGAGGCCGGCGCCGACGGCGCGCGCGAGGCCCTCGTGGCCGCCGCCGCGGGCCGCGGCCGCGGCCGTCTCGCCGCGCGCGTTCTCCGCGCGCGCGTCCGCGCCGCGGCCGAGCAGCGTCGCCGCGGCGCGCCAGGCCCCGCGCCAGCAGGCGTGGTGCAGCGCCGTGCCGCCGTCGGGCGCCCGCGCGTCGAGGTCCGCGCCGTGGGCCAGGGCCACCGCGACGGCGTCGCCGTCGTCGGACCGCGCGGCCTCGTGGAGCAGCGACCGGCCGCGCGCGAGCGGCGCGGCCGCCGCCCAGCCCCGCGGGAACGCGGCGAGCTCGTCGTCCAAGGCGCTCGCGCCGCACCGCAGCGCCGCGAGGCAGCGCGCGCCGACGCGCTCGAGCGGCAGGTCCAGCGACGCCGGCGGCGCGGCCGCCTGCGACGCCTCGAAGGCGCCGCTGTTGGCGGCCTGCAGCGCCGACGCGTCGACGCCGCCGCCCCAGACGGAGACCAGCGTCTCCTCGATCCAATTCATCTCATGTCATGCAGGCTTTGCCGTCACCGCAGCATAAGCTCTTGCCATGCCTCGGCGGCATCTCATTTGTTGAAGGGCAACAACCAATTGCTTGGCAAGGAGGTGGGGCAGCCCGCCGCGGCGACGAGCCCCTTCTCATGTCGACCTTCGGGGACCTGTTCTTCAACAGCGTCGTGCTCGGCGGGCGCGGGCGGCGCGACGCGCCCGACGACGCGAGCTCCAGCGACGGCTGCGGCGGCGACGACGACGTCGAGCTGTCGCTGGCCGACGACGACGCGTCCGACGGGTGCGGCGCGGGCGGCGAGGAACCCGCGGCGCCGGACCCGCGCGCGACCTTCCGCGACGAGCTCCTCGCGCGGCCCGCGCGGCCGCCGGCGGGCGGCGGCGCCGGCTTCTGGGCCCACTTTGCGGATGTCTACGACCTGGCGACGTCGCTCGCGGCCGACGCGGGCGCCGCGCGGCGCGCGGCGCGCGACGCCCGGGCCGACGCGTTCAAGGCGGCGAACGCGCTGGCCGTCGGCGAGCGCGGCGGCCGCGTCGGCCTTCCGAACGCGCTCGAGAAAAAAACGTTTTTTTCTCCTTTCTTAGGTGCCGCGGCGCGATGCTCGAGGCGGACCTGCGGCTGGAGCAGGAGGCGCACCTCGCGACGCGCCAGCTCCTCGCGCGGAGCACGGCGGAGCTCGGGCGGCTCCGGGACTCGCAGGCCCTCGCGCTCGTCGAGGCCGCGAAGGCGTCGGCGAAGATCTCCGCCGCCGAGCGCGCGCGCGACGCGGCGCTGAGCCGCGCGAGCGACGCCGAGGAGGCCGCGCGCTTCTCCGCGTCCGAGGCCTTCGAGAAGCTCTGCGCCGACGCCTACGCGCTCGGCGGCTCGAGCGACCGCGACGACGACGACCGCAAGGTCGGCCAGCTCTGCGAGCTCCTGCCCCGCGCGCTCAAGGAGACGCGCCGCGGCGAGGACGTCGACGACCTCGGCGTCTGCGTCGTCTGCCTCACGGAACCCCGCAACGTCGCGCTCTTCGACTGCGGCCACATCGCGGTCTGCAGCGACTGCGTCGAGTCCATCAACAACGTCTGCCCCCTCTGCCGCCAGCAGGCCTTCGAGTACCGGCGCGTGTTCCTAAGCTGACATGTGGAGGGCTGTCTTTTTTGTTGCGGCACCCGGGGCTCGGGCGGAGAAGTCTTAGAGAAGTCGCGATCGAGTCAGTCTCATGGAGGCACCTTTAACTTCAATAAAAAATGCCACAGCGGTGAGCTATCGAGCTTGAATCTGTTGGGCCAAGCCGAGCGACAACAGCTTTGAGTTCGCCCCGCGTCCACGTCGCGAACATCACAAAGCGCCGCGCATCACAGCCGCCCGCAGCCGTCCCTCGTTGTGACGCCCGGGCACATCGAACGTCGCAGCACACGAAAGCGCATGGGCGGCGGCGGCGCCATGGTCAAATCGAACACGCAGTCTGTGCTCGTGCTCTGCGCCCACGACCTGCCGCTGCCGAAGCAGCGGACCATCGACGACCTGAACGAGATGGGCACGGACCTCACGGGCGTTTATGATTATAAGCTCGACGCCGTGGCGGCGGCGACCATCGACCTCGCCACCTCCCTCTTCGCGGAGAAGCTCGCCGGCGCCGCGGCGCCGCGGTCGCCCGGGCGGCCCGAGGACCGCGTGCTCGTCGTCACGTCCGGCGGCAAGGACGACTGGCGCGACGTGCTGAGCCGCGCCGAGGTGCTCCAGCGCGAGTTCACGCGCCGCGTCGGCATCGACGCGTTCTCGCCGTTGCGGTCCGCGCGGCGCGCGAGCCTCGAGGTCGAGGGCCGCAGCGGCGACCTCGGCGACAGCGCCGAGTACACGGCGCGCCTGCTCGCGAAGCGCGACCTGAGCTCCGTGACCGTCGTCGTGTCGCCCGCCGCGGACGCGGCCGCCGCGCGCCGCGTCTTCGAGGACGCGCTGCCCCCGGGCGTCGACGTGGAGATCGCGTCGTCCGCGGACCGGGCCGCGAAGAAACGCCGCGTGTCGTAAATCTGTGCTTTTCTTTTCAGCGGTCACGGGGAGGCGGGACGTGCGCGGCTGTATCATGGGCCGCCTAGAAGAACGCGAGGACGCGGGGGAAGACGGCGTTGGGGAGTTCGACGAAGACGCGCTCGTAGAGGCGCTCGCTGGACTCGGCGGTGGCGCCGGGCGCGAGGAGCTCGCGGCGCAGGTCGCGGAACTGCGCGTCGCAGTAGGCGCGCCAGCCGCCCGCGGCGCGGACCGCGGCGAGGAAGGCGGCCGTGGTCGTCTGGCCGCTGAGGCGCGCGTAGGCCACGGGGTCTCGGCCGGAGTCGTTGCGCACGTCGAGCGACGCACCACGGCTCACGAGGAGCTTGCACATCCGAAGGTATCCGCGACCGGCAGCGCAGTGGAGCGCGGTATACCCGCTGCTGCTGCGATCACCGACTCGCGCGCCCGCGTCGAGCAGGAGGAGCGCTGCGTCGCGGCGGTCGTACACGGCGGCGATGTACAGTGGCGCCGAATTGACATCGGACTGGCGCCGAAATGACATCGGATTGGCGCCTTGCTCGAGGAGCCAATTGACGGCCGCGCACCAGCCTCGCCACGCAGCGCAATACAGGAGAGTGTATCCACGCCCGCGCGTGCGCGAATAAGCCTCGATGCGCACAGCGTCGCCGACGATAGAAACATAAACGAGCGCGTCGAGGTCGCAGCCTAAAGCATGCTGCTCCTGCACTTTCTCGAGAAACGAGCGCTCACGGGCGTCCATCTCGAGGGCCTATGATCTGCGAGACTCGGGCTGCGTAAACGTAAGAACTTGAAGCTTCAAGGTCGTTACTTTTTATGCGCGCTTCCACAGTTTGCACGATGGCCGTCGGCACGCCGGCAGCAGCAGAGAAGAAGGCAGCGACAGACAAAGAGAACGACGACGCGTTGCTGGCCGTCGCAACCCTCACGAGAACACCCATCCTCATCACGGACCACGTCGAGGCGGATGCGGCGGTGACCGAAATAGTCACAGCGCTGCAGCAGCCCGGCGCGCGCAAGGTCATCGCCGTCGACTGCGAATGGATCGGCGAGCAGAAGCTCGGCGCCGACGTGGTCCAAATCGCCGCTTCTACCGGCCCGCTCTACGTCTTCCACGTCGCGCGCATGCGCCACTTCCCGCGGGGCCTGAAGCAGCTCCTCGCCGACGAGGCCTTCGCCAAGGTCGGCTGCTGCCTCTGGGTGGACCGCGGGCCGCCTCAAGCACAACGGCGCGCCCCTGAGCCCCATCGTCGAGCTCGCCCACCTCGCGCGGGACCGCGGAATCATCAAAGGCAGCAGGGCCTCCCTCAAGGAACTCGCGCGCGTCGTGCTCCGACGACGGCTCCCCAAGGGCCCCGCGCAGACGTCGAACTGGAAGCAGGCGCTCGACGCCGACCAGCTCGCCTACGCGGCCCTGGACGTCGAGGTGACCGTGGCCATCCACGCCGCGCTCATCGCGCTGCCCGCGCCCGCGGCGACGCCCGAGGACCTGGCCGAGCTCGCGGCGGCGACGGCGCGAAAAGTCCGGGAGCCGCCGAAGAAGAAGGCGAAGCCGCTCCCCAAGGGCCAGAAGACCATGGCGGCCTTCTTCAAGCCCAAGGCCTGAAAAGTAGGCGCGAATCGCACCGAACCTTCATTCAGGGCGTGAATCGCACAGAACATGATCTAAGGTCCCCATGTTAAAGCACCCATAATAATAATAATAATAACTTGTTTTAAGGTTAGACGCACTCCGCGAATTTCGGCGCCTTGCGCATCGTGGCCTGGGCCGCGAAGGGGTTGCCGGACCAGGTCCGCCCCGGCTCCGTGACGAGGCCCTGGAAGGCGACGCCGCGGCCGGCGGCGTTGACGACGGTGCCCTCGGGGATCTGCGACCCCGGCAGGATCTGGCACTGCAAGGAGTCGGCCAGGTGGCAGTCGTCGCCGAGGGACGTCTCCTTGAAGCGGAGGTGCATGTTCGAGAAGTCGTGGCCGTAGACGTGGGCGCTGTTCACCGTGCCCTCGCCGATGGACACGACGTCGGCCTCGGGGATGACGCGGAGGAACGTCGTGTTCGGGTAGCACCGCGCGGAGCCCGCGATTTTGGCGCCGAGGAGCCGCGCGTAGGCGTTGACGTACTCCCACAGGAACCGGAAGTGGTCCGGGATGGGCGGCGTCTTGCCGAGCTTCATGACCAGCGCCCAACGCAGGTGCACGGACCCGCGGAGCGGGTGCTGGACGCCGTCGTCGGCGACGGCGCCGAGCACCACGCGCTTGAAGAGCGCGTGGAACGCCGCGCGCAGCGGCATCGCGGCCGTCACGCAGAGCGTGAACAGGATCGACAGGCAGGCGTTGCGCTCCAGCGCGTTGAGCGCCAGGAGCCAGAGCCGCGCCGCGACGCCCGGCTTGCCCGAGCGGATGAGGTAGAAGACGCGCGCCGTCGCCGCCGGCGGCGCCCAGTACTGCGTCGACAGCAGCTCCAGGCAGATCACGAGAAGCAACGCCGGCGCGAGCGTCGAAACCAAGCGGCCCACCACTTCGACGACGGCCATGGCCGACGAGCTGCCCAGGTCCCAGGCCCACTCGCGGCCCCGGCACGCGTCGCTGTGCTCCGGGCGCCACGCCAACGTCAGCGGCCGCTCGCCGTCGCCGATGGCGATGCGCCCGCGCGCGACGCGCCGGTCGATCACCGCCGACGACCCCGTCGCCGCGCCGTCCTCCAGGACGGCGCCGGGCATCAAGATCGACAGCGGGCCGACGAAGGCGCCCTTGCCGATGGAGACGCCGTCGGCGAACGCGAGGCCGCGTCGCGCGTCGACGCGTATGGGGTTGGTGAAGACCTTGGCGGCGACGTAGGCGCCGTCGTCGACGGACACGAGGCCCGGCAGGTGCGCCTGGCCGAATAATTCGGAGAGCACGACGCCCTTGGAGCCGATCTTCGCGCCGAGCGCGCGCCAGGCGTAGTTCATGGCCCCCGTGTAGACGACGTAGTTCTCGAGCACGGGCACGGCCTTGGCGACGAAGAGCCGGCAGAGCTTGTCGCGCGCGACGAAGGACTCGTCCAAATCGTAGATGCCGCCGCGCTCCAGACCCTTCCAGCCGAAGGCCCAGATCTGGATGAGCCGCGCGACGGGCAGCGACAGCCAGCCCTCGAACAGGGTCTTGGCGTGGTAGCCGACCATGACGCACGCGCTGAAGAGTAAAGGATGCGTCGCGTGGAGGCCCGACTTGAAGAAGAAGATCAACAGCGGGAACGTCGCCACGAAGGAGATGATCGGCTGGAAGACGAGGAACACGGCCGTGGGCGCGAGCTCGAAGAGGCAGTGGAGCGGGCTCTGCATGTGCTCCGGCACGCGCACGTGGACGTCGACGGCGCCCGGCGGCGGCGCCTCGGACCGGCGGCGGACGACGTTGCCGCTCGCGGCGACGCCGCCCGCGGGCACAAAGTCCGCGGACCCCGCGCCCGCGCAGACGACGGCGCCCTCGCCGATGTGGGCGCCGTGGCGCACCTCGGCGCAGATGCCCACGCGGCTCCGCCGCCCGAGGCGCACGTGGCCCGCGGTCAGCACCGTCGTCGACGTGAACGACACCGTGTCGACGCGCCCGCCGACGTCGACGATCGCGCCTTCGCCGACGGTCAGCAGGTCGCCCGTCACGCAGTGCGTCACCAAAAAGTTCGACGCGAGGATCGCGTGGCGGCCGATCCGCGCGCCCAGGGCCCGATGGTACCAGACGATCCACGACTGGGGCACGACCGTCGACGCGCCGACGGCCCAGACCTGGACGAAGGACGCCTGGACGCCGTTGACGTAGAGCGCCGTGCGCCAGCCGAAGCCGCTCTCCCAGATGGGGAAGACGCCCGCGCGCATCTTGCCCACGACGATCCACTTCGCCAAAGCCGACGCGACGTGGCAGCCGATGCACCAGAGCAAGAAATACACGGCCACCGTCACGGACAATTCAAACGTAAAGGTCGCGATCCAGGCGAGGCCCGGGTGGAACTGCTGCCCCGTCCAGTGCGAGTACCAGTCCCAGTTGGGCGCGAAGACGGAATCGAAGTCGAAGCGGCGGAAGAAGCCGCGCGGCAGCCCCGGGTAGACCACCTCCGGGTAGGGCAACAACACCTCGAGGAACTCGGCCACGCGGCAGCCGGCGATGGCCTCGAAGATCCAGAGCTTGGGCACCAATTTGAAGCGCGCGGGCGCGACGCGCTCGAGCCACGCGACGGGCACGGCGCCGCCGAAGGCGATCTGCATGCCCAGGAACTGGCAGAGGATCGTGAAGAGCAGCCGGTACGCCGCCGACGGCTCCCGCAGGTCCTTGACCTCGCGGCGCCGGTCGTCGACGCGGCCCTCGACGGCCTTGGGCGCCTTGCCCTTCTTGACGACGGGCACCGCGACGACGGGCGCCGGGGCCTCGGGCTTCTCCGCGCGCTCCGCCCGGGCGATGAGGTCCTCGAGGGACGTCGCCTGGAGCACGTCCACCACCGAGATGCCCGCGCCCGTCGCCGCGTTGAGGTCGCGGACGATGGCCATGACCTCCAGCGAGTCCAAGTCGAGCGCGGCGACCTTCGTCTTGGCGGACACGGCGACCTCGGACGACGCGTGCTTCTGGACGATGGTCACGATCTCGGACCGCGGGTCCTTGGGCGCCGGCGGCGCCTTCTCCGCCGCCGCGCCGGACCCGCCGCGGGGCCCGCGGCAGAGCGCGCGGACGACGTCCTCGGCCGACGCGCAGCCGAGGACCCTGGACGCGTCGACGGGCCGCCCGAGCGCGCGCTCGAGGTCGTCGACGAACTTCTTCGCGTCGCGCCAGCGCAGCGCGGCGACGTCGCCCTCGAAGTCGCGAAGGTCGACGCCCGCGCCGTGCGCCGCGTCCTTGAGCGCCGCGAGCGCCGCCTCCGGGTCCGGCCCGTCGCCCGAGGACGCCTCGTCGTCGTCGTCGCTGTCGGCGGAGTCTCCAACGTGCTTCGGGCAGAGGCCCGCGACGTCGCCGAGCGTCGCCGCGCCTAAAACGTCGACGACGGAGAGCCGCGCGCCCGTCGCCGTGTTCACGTCCCGGACGATGGCCATGACCTCGAGGGAATCGAGGGCCAGGGAGCCGAGGGGCGTCGCGGCGGAGAGGGCGCCGCTCTCCGTCGTGTGCGCGGCGACGACGCGGAGGACCTCCGCGGCCGCGTCGACGGCCTCGCGCTTCTCCTTCTTCGGCTTCCGCGGGGGCGCGCCCACCCCCAACTCGGCGCAGGTCGCCGCGAGGTGCGGCGCCGCCGCCGCACCTTTGGCGAGCATGTCGAAGTCGAAGCGGACGACGGCGACCTCCGCGAGGCCCGATTCCAAAGCCGCGGACTTGGCGAGGGCAAAATCCAGGCAGTTCAAGGCCTCGTCCGCGAGCAGGGGCGCGAAGGGCGCGGCCTCGGAGCCGCCGCCCTGGTTCTTCGCGCCGCTCGCCATGCCGTGGCCGGCCCAGGGGCCCCACTGGACGGCCACGGAGCACCGCGGGCCGCCGACCCGCGCCTTCCGGAACGCGGCGAGCGCGTCGAGGCCGCCGTTCGCCGCGCCGTAGTCCGTCTGCCCCGCGTTGCCGAGGAGGGCCGTCACGGACGAGTAGGCGCAGTCGACGGCGAGGGGCCCGAGCCCCGCGGCCGCGCGCGCGGCCTCGACGGCCGCCGCGAGGCGCAGCGCGCCGCCCGTCTTGGGGTCCGCCGTCGCCGCCAGGCTCTTCGCGTCGCGCGTGCGCAGCGCGCCGTCGCGGGCCACGCCCGCGCAGTGGAAGAGGGCGGCGACCTCGGCGCCGCGCTTCTCCGCGAAGGCCGCGACGGCGCGCCCGTCGCAGACGTCGCAGGGGATCACTTCGACGGACGCGCCGCGCGTCGCCGCCTCGGCGTCGAGCGCCCGCTTCAGCGGCGCGTCCGCGGCGCGGACGGCGCCGCTCCGCGACAGGAGGAAGACGGCCTTGCAGCCGCGGCGCACCGCGTGCTCCGCTGCCATCAAACCGAGCGCGCCCGTGCCGCCGGAGACCGCGAGGCCGCCGGCCGCGAGGAGCTGGGACGCCTTCTCGCCGTCCGCGCGCGCGTTCGCGCCCGCCGCGGGCACGACGCGCCGCGCGAAGGCGTCGGCGCCGACGACGCGGCAGTCGTCGCCGACGTCGCTCGCGATCGCGAGCGCCAGCGCGACCTTGGGCTCAAAGTCCTTGCCGAGCTCGAGCGTCCGCAGCGCGACGGGCGACGCCACGAGGTCCGCCTCGCGCCGCGCGGACCGGAGCAGCCCCCGCGCGGCGCCGCCGGCGACGGCCTCGGCGCGCGAGCTCGCCGCGGTCGCCTCGGGCGTCACGACGACGAAGCGCTTCGGGGCCGCGCCGCGCGGCGCGCCGAGCGCGACCTTGAGGGCGGCCTGGAGCCGCGCGGCGACGGCGGCGGCGTGGGCCGCGTCGGCGTCCGCGGCCGCGACGGCCCGGGCGACGTCCGCGGCCGCGGTCCGCGGCGCGGCGCCGAGGAGCCGCGATGTCTCCGTCGTCGCCGCGGCCGCGGTCGTCGCCGCCGCCGCGGGCGCCGCGGCGTCGGAGAAGCCCGCGCAGAAGACGACGACGTCCCAGGTCTGGGCCACGGCGGCGCAGGCCGACAGGGGCATCTCCGTGAGCCGGCGGTCGTCGCCGAGCTGCCGCTTGAGCGCGGCGCAGAGCTTCGCCGACCCCGGCGTCGCGTCCCGCAGGACGAGCACGTGCGTCGCCTCGGAGTTCACGGGCGCGGACCGGCGCGCCCAGTGGGCCCGGAAGAGCGCGCCCGCGGGCCGCGCGGGCGCCGCGACCGCCGCGGCGGCGCGCGGCCGCCGCGGGCCCTCCTCGAACCACGCGGGGCTCCCCGCGTAGGCCACGGCGGGCAGCGCGACGACGGGCCCCGCCGCGTCGACGCGCTTCAGCTCCACGCCGAGGCCGTAGAGCGCCGCGAGGGCGTCGCCGACGCACGCGGGTTCGCGTCCGCGGCGCTTCGGGCCCTTGAGCGTCGGGGTAGCGCCCGTTGCAGGCCGCGCGCCGATGATGGCCGACACGTGGGGCGCGAGGTGCGCCGAGGGCCCGATCTCCGCGACGGCGACGGGCCCGTCGAAGGACGCGAGGAGCGCGGCGACCGCGGGCTGGAACCGCACGGCGCCGCGCGCCTGGGCGCACCAGTAGGCCGCGTCCGGCGGCGCGTCGAGCTCCGCGCCCGTGCACGTCGAGAAGACCTTGCAGGCCCCGGGTGCGGCCGCGCCGAGGTCCGCCGCCGCCGCCCGGAGTCGGACGAGGCAGGGGTCGACGCACGCGCTGTGGAAGCCTGTGTGGAAATCAAATCTTCAACCCGACTTCAATGTGCACGTATGCGACCGTTTCGACGCAAAGCTTTCTGCCGTGCTTCGAGAACTCGACGAGAGCAATCGATCCGTCCAAAAATCAGCCGAATCGACTTCGATCTGACCGAGATAGAGAGTTCTGAAGTTTGGTGGGGACCCACCAAGTTGATTTCCACACAGGTGGAAGCCCGTGAGGACCCGCAACTTCTTCGGCGCGCCGCTGCCGACCTTGGCGTCGGCCAAAGCAAACAACACGCCGTCGACGGCCTCGCGGCGGCCCGACAGCGTGCAGCCGAGGCCCGAGTTGTCCGCCGCGACCTGCACGTCGCCGCGCACGTCCGCGGGGATCGCGTCCAACGCTTCGGCGACGGCCGCGGCGTCCGCGCGGACCGCGGCCATGGCGCCGACGCCGGCCGCCAGCGAGCTCATGGCCGCGCCGCGGCCGACGATGAGCTTGGCCGCGGCGTCGAGAGGGAGGACGCCCGCGACGCAGAAGGCCGCGACCTCGCCGAGCGAGTGGCCGACGACGGCGTCGGGCTGCTCGCGGCCGACCTCCGCGAGGACGAGCTTCGCGAGCGCGTACTCGAAGCAGAAGAGCGCCGGCTGGGACGCCGCCGGCGACGTCAGCAGCGCCGCCGCGGCGCCGTCGTCGGCCTCGGCGGCGCCCGCGGCTGGGCCGAGCGCCGCGGTCTCGAGCGCCTCCAGCCCCCCCTCCAGCAGCGGCGCGACGGCGGCGGCCGCGGCGTCGAAGGCGCAGCGGAAGGCGGCGCAGGACTCGTACAGCGCCCGGCCCATGCCCACGTAGGCCGCGCCCTGCCCCGTGAACGCGAGGGCGAGCATCGGCGCCTTCTTCCGGTCCGCGCCGTTCGCCGGCGGCTCGTAGGACGACGCGACTTTTTCCAGCTTGGCCGCCAAAACGTCGAGGCCCTCGCCGCCGACGAGGGCCGCCGCGGACCGGTGGGGCCGCGCGCGGCGGCCGCCCTGGAGCGCGACGCGGATCTGCGCGGACCGGCGGACGGCCGCGACGCCGCACGTCGATGACGCGGCCCACGTGGCGAAGCGCTTCGCCGACTGCTTCAGGGACGCCGCCGAGTGGGCGGCCACGGGCACGAGCGCGAGGCCCGCGGGCTCGCGCGCGTTGTCCGTTTCCTCTTCGGAAACCGCCGCGCGCGTCACGGCGACGTGGCCGAGCGCGCCGCCGAAGCCGAAGCTCGACACGCCCGCCGTCGTCTTCGCGCCGAGATCCTCGGCGGCGGCGAGCACGGTCACGTTGAGCTTCGCCCAGTTCACGTGCGCGTTGGGCGTGCGGAAGTGGAGGCTCCGCGGCGCCGTGGCGTGCTTCAGTGTGAGCGCCGCCTTCGCCAAACCCGCGAGGCCGCTGCAGCCCTCGAGGTGGCCGATGGACGCCTTGATGGACGCGCAGCGCAGCGTCGCGCCGGCCCCCAGATCCGCGCCGCCGAGCGCGCCGAGCTCGATGGGGTCGCCGAGCCGCGTGCCCGTGCCGTGCGCCTCGATGACCGCGACGGTCGCGCGCGCGGCCGCGGCGTCCGCGGCGGAAAAGTCGGCGTAGGCCGCGGCGAGGACGGCGCCCTGGGCCGCCGGGTTCGGCGCCGTGAGGCCGTTGGACCGGCCGTCCTGGCCGACGCCGACGCCGCCGATTTGGCAGATCGCGCGGCCCCGGCTCGCGTCCGCGCACTCCAAGAGCACGACGCCGACGCCCTCGCCGCGCACGTAGCCGTCGGCGGCGTCGTCGCCGAAGCGGCAGCGGAACGTCGGGCTCAGCATGCCCGCGGCCGTGAACGCGCAGGACCAGTGGGGCTGGAGCTGCACGTTCGCGCCCCCGACCAACGCCGCGCCGCACTCGCGCGCGTCGAGCGAGTGGCGCGCGACGGAGACGCAGGTCAACGAGCTCGAGCAGGCCGTGTTCAGCGCCACGGACGGGCCCCGGAGGTCGAAGAGGTAGGACACGCGGTTCGGCCCCACGCAGCCGTGCCAGCCCGTGCCGCAGTACGCGTCCGTACTCGCCGCGCCCTCGTCGACGGCGCGCTGGTGGAGGTAGGCGTAGTCGCTCGTCTCGATGGCCGCGAAGACGCCGACGTCCTCGCCGTCGCCCCCGGGCGGCGCGGGCGTCGCGCGCCGCTCGCCGAGCTCCAAGGCCTCCGCGCAGCACTCGAGCACGAGGCGCTGCTGCGGGTCCATGGCCGTCGCCTCGGCGGCGGAGATCCCGAAGGCGACGCGGTCGAAGCCGCGCACCGTGAGGGCGCTCAGGTACGCGCTCGGCCGCCCGTTGTGGGGCCGGTCGCCCGGGACGTCGTCGAGGACCGCGTCCTTCTCCGCGATGAGGTTCGCCCAGAGCGCCTCGGGCGAGTTCGCGTCGCCGGGCAGGCGCAGGGCCAGCGACGAGAGCTGCAGGCTCCGGCGGGGCCGCGCGGGCGGCGCCGCGGGCGCGGCGCGCGGCGCCGCGGCCGCGGGCGCCGCCGAGAGGACGAGCTCCGAGACCACGTGCGCGCAGACGCCGCCGATGCTCACGTGCTCGAAGACCATCGTCGGCGAGAAGTCCTCGTCGAGCTCCTCGTGAGGAAGTTGACCATCTCCACGGTGTGCATCGACGACAGGCCGATCGCCGTCACGGGCTCGTCGCGGTCGAGGGACGCCGCGTCGACGCCCATCATCTCGGCGACGTGCGCCGCGACGCGCGACGCGAGCAGGCCCGCCCGCGCCGCCGCCGGCGCCGCCGCGAGCTCCCGGAGGAGCGCGGGGCCCGAGGCGGCCGCGGCCGCGGGCGCCGCCGCCGAGAAGACGAGCTCCGAGACGACGTGCGCGCAGACGCCGCCGATGCTCACGTGCTCGAAGACCATCGTCGGCGAGAAGTCCTCGTCGAGCTCCTCGTTGAGGAAGTTGACCATCTCCACGGTGTGCATCGACGACAGGCCGATCGCCGTCACGGGCTCGTCGCGGTCGAGGGACGCCGCGTCGACGCCCATCATCTCGGCGACGTGCGCCGCGACGCGCGACGCGAGCATCGCCGCGCGGTCCGCCGGCGCGGCCGCCGCGAGCTCCCCGAGGAGGCCCGCGGCGGGAGGGGCCGCGGCGGGCGCGGCGGGCGCGGCCGCGAGGCGTCCGGCGAGCGGGTGCGGGCCCGCGGCGCCGCGGCGCTTCGCGTACTGGGCCCAGTCCGCGGGAAGCACGGCCGCGTGGCACTGCGTCCGGCCCGCGACCTGCGAGAGCGCCGCGAGCGCCTGGAAGCCGCCGTCGAGGGGCACGAAGCGCATGCCCGTCGACTTGACGTGGGCCTCGAAGCCCGACCCGAAGCGGTGCGCCATGCCCGCGTCGGCCCAGGTGCCCCAGGACACGGCGAGGGCCGGGAGGCCCGCGCGCGCGCGCGCGGCGGCCAGGCCGTCCTGGAACGCGTTCGCGGCGCCGTAGTGCGTGAGCTCGCGCGAGCCCAGGAGGCCGTAGATGGACGAGAAGAGCACGAAGGTGTCGACGGGCGTCTTCAGGGACGCGGCGTGGAGGTGCAGCGAGCCGTCGACCTTGGGCTTGAGCACGTCCGCGAAGCGGTCCCAGTTCAGCGCCGGCGCGGCGCCGTCGTCGACGACGCCCGCGAGGTGCCAGACGCGGAGCTTCGTCGCCGGCGTCGGCTTGAGGGCCGCGCCGCGCGCGAGGAGCGCCTCGGCGCCGGACGCGAGCGACACGTCGGCCTGCTCGACGACGACGGTCGCGCCCGTGTCGCTCGCGAGCTTCGCGAGCTTCGCGGCGAGCTCCGGGCTCGGCGCGCGGCGCGACGCGAGGACGAGCGTCGCGGCCTTGCCGCCGGCGGCCGCGAGCTTCGCGGCCCACTCGACGCCGAGGCCCCCCGTGCCGCCGGAGACGACGTGCACGCCCGCGGCGACGTCCGCGTCGACGACGGGCCCGCCCTCGAGGAGCCGCGGCACGGGCAGGGGCGCGAGCCGGGGCGCCTTGCGCGCGCGCTTGCGCCAGGCGGATTCGGCGCGCGACGCCGGTGGCGCCGCGCCGAGCTCCCGGAGGAGGAACGCGGCGTCGCGCTCGCGGCTCGGCTCGCACGGGCAGAGGTCGACGACGCGGAAGCCGAGCTTGGGCATCTCGGCGGCCGCGGACCGGACCATGCCCCAGACGGCGCAGGACGCGAGCGCGGCGTCGGGCGCCGTCGCCTCGACGCCGTCGAGGGACGCGTCGTCCGCGGCGCCGCGCGTCGCGACGACGACGCGCGGCGCGTCGTCGCACTCGTCGAGGGCCTGGAGGAGCGCGAGGAGCGTCTTGAGCGCGGCCTTGGTGGCGCCGGCGACGTCGTCGCCGAGCGCGGCGCCCGCGCCGAGCGCCGTGAGGCACACGACGCCCGCGACGTCCTCGCCGCTCTCCTCCAGCGCGCACGCGACGCGCGCCTTCTCCTGCTCGAGCGTCGCGCCCGCCGGGGCGGGGGGCAGGATGGCCGCGGTCGCGCCGGTCATCTTCGCGGCGAGTTCCTGGGCGACGCCCGTGCCGTCGTCGAGGAGGACCCAGAAGCCCTCGACGGCCGCCGCGGCCTCCGCGGCGAGGGGCGCGTCGACCCAGGTCACGCCGTAGACGTGGTCCGCGATGCCCGACGGGGGCTGGGCCGCCTGCTTGCGGCTCGCGCGCGCGGCCTTGCGCTCCTCGGCGAGCTTCGCGTCGCGCTTCTTGAGCGCGGCCTTGGCGACCTTGCCCGAGCCCGTCATGGGCAGGTCGGCCCGGGCCATGAACTCGATGGACGACGGCACCTTGAAGTCCGCGAGCTTGGCCGCGGCGTGGCGCCGGAGCGCCGCCGCCGTGAGGGACTCGTCCTGCTTGACGACGACGGCCTTGACGCGCTCGCCCATGGCGTCGTCGGGCATGCCGTAGACCGTCGCGAGCTTGACCCCCGGGTGGTCGTTGAGCACGCGCTCGACCTCGACGCAGTAGACGTTCTCCGAGCCGACGAGGATCATGTCCTTGGCGCGGTCCGTGATCGTGAGGTAGTTCATCTCGTTGACCTTGGCGAGGTCGCCCGTGCGGAACCAGCCGTCCGGCGTGATGGCCTCGGCCGTCGCCTTGGCGTTGTTGTTGTAGCCGGAGAAGAGCGTCGGCCCGCGGATCCAGACCTCGCCGACGCCGCCGGAGCCCGGCGCGACGTCGACGGCGTCCGCGTCGGCCTCGAGGGGCTTCTCCATGGTCGGCACGTTGGACCCGTCGCGCGCGCCGACGACGCGGACCTCGAGGAGGCCGAAGGGGCGGCCGGACGTCGTGATGAGGTCGAGGGTCTTCGCCGGGCCGACGCGGTCGCGCGTCGCCTCGTCGACGAGGGACATGGAGATCTTCCCGCAGCACTCCGTCATGCCGTAGGACAGGAAGAACTCGCAGTCGAAGGTCGCGAGCGCGTTCAGGACCGTCGCGGCCGAGAGCGGCGCGCCGCCGCAGGAGAGCATCTCGAGCGACGACGCGTCCGCCTTTCCGACGGCCGGGTCCGCGAGGAGCAGCGTGACCATGGTCGAGGCCACGTTGCTCACGGTGACGCGGTGGTCGCGGAGCGCGTCGAAGACCGGCGCGGCGGCGAACGCGGGCACCGTGACGTGCGTGCCGGCGACCCAGGTGACGGCGAAGATCGCGTAGGCGTCGACGAGGTGGAACATGGGCGCGCAGTGGAGCCAGACGTCGGCGCGCTTGATGCGGTGCTCGACCATGCAGCCCAGGGCGTGGAGCAGCACGGTCTCGCGGCTGAGGACGACGCCCTTGGGGCGGCCCGACGTGCCCGACGTGTAGTACATCTCCGCACCCGCGGAGCCCAGGAGCGCTTTGGCGTCCTCGGGCCGCTCGACGACGGGGCCGTCGGCGACGATGGTCTCGTAGAGAGAGGTCGGCACGTCCAGGTCCGCGGCGGCTTTCTGCAGCACGTCGGTCCAGACGACGGCGCGGATTTTAGAGTAGCGTTGCAGCGCCTCTCGGACGAGGCCCGCGTAGCTCGTGTCCGCGACGAGGACCTCGCAGTCCGCGCCCTCGAGGCAGTAGGCGAGCTCGTCGGGCGAGAGGCGCGGGTTCAGGTTCAGCGCGACGCAGCCGGCCCAGCCGGCGATGGCGTAGTGGCACTCGATCGCGGGCGCGCAGTTGGGCGTCATGAGGCCGACGCGCGCGCCGGCGCTCGCGCCGCCCGCGGACCGGAGCCAGGCGCCGAGGCGGCTCGCGCGCGCGAGGACGGCGGCGTAGGACAGGGACGTGCTCGTGGCGAGGTCGTGGAGCGCGACGTCGTCGCCGCGGGCCGCGGCCGCGGCCTCGAGCGGCGCCCACATGTCGCAGCCGACCTCGCCGGACCGGCGCAGGGCGAGCTGCTCGGCGGCGAAGGTCGTGTCGCCCTTGCGCGCCGGCGGCACGGACACCGCGTCGGCCGCCGGGACGGGCAGCCCCGCCCACATGGCCGCCTGCGTGGCGGCGGCGGGCTGCTGCGACGGCGTGCGCGACGAGGCGCGCGTCTTCTTGCTTTGCGGGTTGGCCGGCGTGCTGTTCTGCCAGCGCGCGGCCTGGCTTTCGTGTCTCATTGTGCTGTCGCGCGCTCGAGCTGGTGGACCAGGTCGAGGTGTGCGCACAGCAATAGTGTATTTCGAAGCTTCGGGCGTGGGCTTTGACGTCATGGGGAAAGGTCGGCTGATATGCTCGCGGAGTTCTCATTACATCATGTTTCTCGGGCAGCCTCCCGGCTCGCTCGCCGCGCCGTCTCGGGCAGCCACGACTCGGGCGGGTCGGCCTCCGCGTAGACGCGGGTCCACTTGACGCCGTCGTCCGAGACGTCGAGTGACTCGGGCAGCTCGCGGCCATGGAGTACTGGAACAGCTTCCAGGCCGAGGCGAACAAGCTCGCCGACCAGGCGAATGCGCGCTACGAAACCGCCGTCGCCGGCAAGAAGCTGCTCGACGACGGCGGCCCGCCCATGGAGCAGAAGCTCGTCGCCAAGGCCGCGGCGCGGCGCTGCGTGCAGAGCGCCGTCGTCGCCACGTCCCAGATCGACGACGTCATCGGCCAGTACACGGAGCTCCTCAAGGAGCTCAACGTCTGCGCGACGAACACGGCCATGACCGCCGTGGAGCGCGCGGAGTTCGCGGCGCTGCGGACTTCGTACGTCGACGCTTTGTCGTCGTTCCAGCACGCGCGCGCGGCGCTCTCGCAATGCCCGCCGCCGGGCATCTTGTCCATCTCGCCGCAGGAGGACGACGCCATCTCCATCTTATGGGCCCAGGGCAAGGCGCAGACCGCGTTGGAGCACGCGAAGCAGGTCAGCGACGAGGCCGTGTCCGCCATGCCCGTCGCGACGCCCGTCGCGACGCCCGTGGCGAAGCCCGGCGAGGACGAGCGGGAGGTCTAAGGTGGGTGGGCCTATTCGAGGCGCGTTCTTTCTTTTAAAGACCGTACGGGCATCCGACGTGGCATATGCATCGGCCGCTGCAACTTGTCGACGCCGCCGCCGGCGTGGACCATCTGACCGCGCCCGACCGGCGGGTTTCTTGAACATTACATTGTAGTTCAACTTGCATTTGGTCGGAAGACACAAGAATCGAGCATGACGTCGTCGCACTGAATCTCGGCAGCATGTGCGCGGGCCAGTTCGAGTTTGCAATGAACGACGTGCTCTGCAGCGAAGACGTCGAAGCGCGCAGCGAAGTCGCAAAGGCACCGCCGTACAAAGCCACGCCGGACGCCGCGGAGCTTTCGCTCGCCGTCGCCGTCGCGTTCGGCACGGCCTGGCTCTGGCGCGGCATCTGGCTCTGCATCGACGACATCCTCTTCCCGGACTCGCGCTGGCGGTCGGCGACGGCGGGCCTCGGCATCGGCGTCGCGCTGTATCTCGCGCTCGCGTGGCTGCGGCCGCGCGGCGCGGCCGCGGCGCTCCGGCGCCCGGGCCTTGCCTGGTTTCTCGACGCGTGTTACAGCTACGTCGGCGTCTGGGTCAGCGTCCTGGTCTGGCGCGGCTTCTGGTACCTCGGCGACGGCCTCTTCGCGCGCGACGCGGCGGTCTCGCACGCGTGCGGGTTTTTCGCGCTCCTGGGCTTCGGCGCGCTGCGGTCCGCGTGCGCGGCGCCCATGTTCTTGGTCGCCGACGCCGCGCCGCCGCTCTTCTCCGCGCTGGCCTGGGACGACCTCGCCGCCTTCGACCCGCGGCGGCGGCTCGCGCCGCCTCCGACGGACGCGCGGTCGCCGAATGGAGCCTAGAGAGCGCCGGTTGAGCGTACTACTAGAAGTACTAGGTAGCGGACGAAGCGTTAGTTTTAGGGCACGATGCCGTTGGTCTTCCACTGGTACCAGTCGTACTGCTTCGCGCGGTCCGAGTCGTGGGACCGGCGGATCATGTCCGTCGCCGCGGCCATGGTCTGCCGCGGGTCCTGGCCCAGGCCGCGGAAGCGCTCGCCGAGGGCCGTCGCCGCCTCGAGGCCCACGTTCGAGTCGCCGAAGAAGAGCACCAGGAGCGTCTGGAGTCTGTGGAGCTCGAGCGCGAGCGCGTGGAGCCCCGCGGCGAACGCCGTCGCGAACGCGACCCACGCGTCCGACCCGACGCCGCCCAAGACGTGGACGTAGTCCTGGGGCAGCTTGAAGGGCGCGTCCTCGAAGTTCAAACCTCCCGGCGACCGGCCGAGCATGTAGCCGAAGTCGATGTGGATCAACCGGCCGCCGCGGTCCAGGAGGATGTTGCCGTTGTGCCGGTCCTTGACGTCGAGCGCGTAGCTCAGCAGGCTCGACCCCGCCAACGACCGCGCGAAGTTCAGCGACGCCTCCTTGCGGTTCGGCGCGCCGCCGACCCGCTGGTTCTCGTCGTAGGGCCCGTAGACCGCGTCGAAGTACGCGCCCAGATCCGTGCCTGGGCAGGAAACGGGTGATTCAAGTTCTCTTCAACATGAGTGTTCCGCGCGCGCGCGTTCCGGGAAAAGCATCCATGCTTCGAGACCGTTCCGAGAGATGATCGCTCGTCCAAAAATCAGCCGAAACGAGTGGAAATCGGCCGAGATCGGAGCCTTTGAAGTTGGGAATTTCGCTCTCTTTTCCTGCCCAGATCCGTACCCATGTCGAGGCTCTTCAGCTGCTGCTTCACGTGGTCCAACGACTTGGCGTCGGCCAGGGTCTCCACGAGGCCCGCCCGGGGGCCGCAGCAGATGATGCCGTAGGGCCGCAGGTACGCGTCGACGCCGTGGCGGTCCAAGACGTCCGCGACCGCTTCCGCGAACTGCGACGCGAGCTGCTCCCTTCGCAGCTCGTCGTCGGCCTTCACTAAGAACGACGCGAGGCGCCAGCCCGGGTTCGCCCCGTAGGGCGACGCCGCCTTCGCCGCCGCCTCCTGCTCCTCCCAGATCTGGGGCTCGTAGACGCGAGCTAATAATTCGTTGCGCCGCGCGGCCTCAAAGTCCAAGCGCCCGCCCGTGTTCAGGAAGGAGTCGACGACATCAAAAGCATGCCCGTGGCGCGTCGGCGCGACGACGGGCGCCCAGCGCCGCGCCTCGTCGTCCAGATTCAGCACGGGCGCGGCGCCGCCGTCGGCCGTCCGCTCGATGGCCTCGCAGTATAGCAACGTCGGCGCGCGCGCGCGCGACGGCATGACCCGGCAGCTCGCGACGTGGATCCGCAGCACCCGGAGCGACGCGCCCGACGCCACCTCGAACAGCGGCACGTCGACGCCGCCGGCCAACGCGCGCGGCGCGAGCCAGTCGTTCAACGCGTGCAACATCGGCTCGAGCCGCCGCGGGTCGCGCCGCTTCGTCCGCTCGACCTTGGCCAGGTGCTCCGAGACGCGCACGAGCGCGCCGACGAAGGCCGCCGAGTCCTTGCACGTGTCGACGCGGTGGGACGCGGCCCAGCACTCGCGGAACAGGACGTCGCCGAACGACCCCGCCTCCAGGGTATTCCTTTCCTCCAGGAGCGCGTCCTGGAGCAGCCAGCACGTCTTCAGGCCCATCTCCGGTTTCGCCACGATCCGCTGCACGAGCGCGTCCCGCAGCGCGAAGCTCAGCAGCTGCCGGTGCGCCGACGACGCGACCGCTAGGCGGCTCGGACTGTGATCGACGAGGGCGGTCGTGATCTGCGGCAGGCACCGCTCCCACTCGTCGTCGCTGAAGGACGCGTCGCTCGCGCCGAGCGCCTCGGCGACGGACCGCGCCTCCATCTGCGCGTGGGCGTCCGCCGCGCTGCCGTGGTCGTAGCGATAGACGCGCCGGCTAAACACGGCGCCGCCGGACCGCCCGACGATCTGGAGCGCCTGCGAGTCCCCCTTCAACGAGCGCTGGCAGGCGAACCAGCGCGTCAGGACCTCCATGAGGCCCGCGAAGACGATCTTCATGGCTGTGTTGCGGCGCGCGACGCTACTACGTGTTGATCCCCATGCCTCAACCTCAATGAACGCGTCGGCACCATCGGTGCATCATCGCACGCAAGCTAATGGTCGCCTCCTGCAGCGTCTCCAGCGGCGCGGGCCAGCACCGGTCGCTGCGCTGCGTCGTCGCCGACGTCGCAGCCACGAACAAAAACCTCGCCATGGACTGGGACCTGCCGGCGGCGCTGTACTGCGACGTCGACGAGCTGCGGCGCCGCGCGGCCTGGCCGGCCTGCGTCGCGCGCTTTACCGTCGCCGGCGACAACCCGTCGGCCTTCGACGTCGAGGCGCCCGAGTACGCGTCGGCGCCGCACGCGCTCCGCCTCGACTGGGCCCTCGACGGCTGCGCCGGCGATTTGACGGTGGACGTCCCGTTCCACGTCCGCTACCTGACGCCCGGCGCGGCGCCGCGGCGCGCCGTGGCCTTCGACGCGCCGCGCGTCGCCGTCGACGGCGCGCGCGCGGCGCCGGCGGGCCCGCGCCTCGAGGTCGTCGCGCCCGCGGCGCCCGGCGGCGACGCCTACGCCACAGTCGTCGTCGCGGCGACGCTCGCGGCGCTCTGCCTCTTCGTCCGCAAAGCGGCGGCCGCGCTCCTCTTCCGGGGCCGCGCGACGACGTGGCGGGGCCTCGCCGCCGAGCTCCGGGACGAGGTCGCCGCGCGGCGGAAGCCCCCCGACTAACGGAGACACTTAGACGACGACCGCGCGGTGCCTCCGGAGGCGGAGCGCGCGGCCCCGGCGGGCGCGCCGCTTGCCCGAGTCGGCGTCGTCGTCGCCGTCGGCGCCGATGGTCGCGGACGTGATGACGAAGGCGGGGAGGAACATGCACAGCAGCGCGGCGACGAAGAGGCACGCGAGGACCTTGTGGCCGTGCTCGTCGACGAAGTCGAAGGCGTGGTCGAAGACCGACGCGTCGTCGTCGACGGCGGGCAGCGTGCGCTTGCGCAGCACGGGCTCCGGGGGCCGCGGGGCCTCGGCGGGCCGGCGCGGCGGCGGCGGCTTCGGCTCGCAGGCGCAGGCCTCGCAGGCGAGCGTGTACCAGTGCAGCCCGCCCTCGCTGACGCAGCCGTCGCCGACGCACGCCGTCTCGGAGCACATGCACTCGCCCGTCGTCCGCGTCGCCGTCCCGTGCTCGCACCAGCCGTCGGGCAGCGGCGGCGCCTCGGCGGGCGCCATGTTCGCCGCCGCGCCCGACGCCGCGACGGCGAGCGCCACGCGAACCAGCATGTGCGTATCGCGCGAGGATGGCGCGGTTCAGGCTCGGCCGTTCACGAACGAGGACCGCGGCGGCTCAGGAACATCGAGGCAGCCCGAGTGAGACGTTCAAGCGAGCTTCACTATGAAGTTCAATATGATCATGAGCAGTCCCAACGGACCTTAGTGCTCGCTCTGGGGGGGACCCCCGACCACCTTGGTGTAGGACGACGTGACGTCGCACAGGGCGCCGGTGCCAAAGATCCCGCCGTCGTCCTTGCCCGAGATGGAGAGGTGCTCGAGCTCGGCCCGGAGCGCGCCGGCCTCGTCGCGGAGCGCGGCGACGGCGCCGTCCGCGTCCCGCGGCGCCGGCGGCGGCCGCGCCTTGGGCGCGCGCTTCTCCCGGCGGGTGGGCGTCGCGGCGTCCTCCGGCGGCGCCGCGCGCGCGCTCGCCTTGGGCGCGCGCTTCTCCCGGCGCGGCTTCTCGGCGTCGCGCTTCTTCCAGGACTTGGGCTCGTAGGCCGGCGTCTCGTCTGCGAAGATGTAGCCGCCGGAGCGCGAGCGGCAGACGCCGGACGCCGTGCGGTGGATCTCGCGCCCGTGCGAGGCGTCCATGTAGCCGTCGAGTGCGAACTCGGTGCAGCGGGTGTAGGTGAGCCCGAGCTGGGCGTGGGAGTTGACGTAGCGGAAGACGCGCCCGAGCGCCGAGAGAGCGCCGGGCGTCGGGTGGTCCGGGAACGCCGGGGTGGCTCTGGCGACCGTGCTCAGGACTCCGAACGCGAAGCTGAGCCACGGCATCGTGCGCGTGGCCAGGTAGCCGATGGCGCCGAGGGCGCTGTCCATGTTCTCCTTGGTGGGGACCCCCCAAACCAGTGGTTGGAATCCACGCGGTTGTCCGCGTAGGGCGTGCCGTAGAGCTTGAGCACGCGGTGGCGGAAGTCGCGGGACGTCGTGCGGCAGATCTCCTTGCCGATGACCTGCGCCGCGCGCGTCGTGCCGGGGTTGAACCTGCGGCGGGGCCCGGGGACGCGTCGCGGCGGACGCGCGCGCGCGCGGCGCGGGGCGCCTCGCATCCACGCCAGCGCGGTCTCGTTCGTGATGCCGTAGGCCGCCGTGTCGATGTCCTCGGCGAGGAAGAACGCCGCGGCGCCGGCCTCGAGGAAGCGCGCGTAGTGCGCCTCGCCGTGGCGGTGCGGCCCGACGACGACCGCGGCCTCCGGCGCGTCGCCGACGGCCGCCAAAATCGCGTCGATGGCCTCGCCGACCTCGTCGTCGCTCATGGCCTGGTACGAGGCCTCGTAGTCGAAGGTCGCCTCGAAGGCCTCGCGCACCGGGCCCCAGAAATCCTGGATGGCCGGCTCCCGGGGGAACAGCCCGAAGATGCGCGACAGGCGCACGGGCGCCGCGGACGCGGCGGCGGCGAGGACCAGCAGCGTTCGTCGCATCATCGCGGTTGGTTCGTGTGCAAGATGGTGGTTTGGATGATCGAAGACGGTCGTGCACTCACGACGCGGAAAGGCTGCCCATTCTGCGCACAGTAGTGACGGTCGTACAGTCGTGCAACTTTCAGACGCGGAACTTCAATGGTTCGCCGTAACATCGGTCAATGTTGAAGTTCAACAAGACTCGTCCGAACACGTCCGAGCGCCCCACGGGACCCTAGAGCTCGCTCTTAGGGGAGAGGCGGTTCTTGAGGAAGCGCGCCGCGCCCTTGAGCGCGCCGTGGCCCGGGAACTTGCCCCTGGGCCGGACCTCCGCGACGTCGCAGCGCGCGAGGCGCGTGACGGACCCCGCGAAGGGCGGTCGGTCGATGTACTCGTAGCCCCACTTGAAGAGCTTGTCCGGGTCCGGCCCCGTGCCCCAGGGCGCCGTCGCCGACGTGCGGTTGAGCAGCGGCACGGCCGCCGCGTACGACGCCGGCGCGACGCGGCCGACGGGCGTGTCCCAGGGCTCGGCGCCGAAGGCCGCCCGCTGGGCGTCGGAAGCGCCGGGCATGACGAAGAAGAGGTTCGTCGTCCGCGTGTGCCGCGCGTGGCCCGCGAAGCAGAGCGTGCCCGGCTCGAAGCGGACGCCGCGGTCCACGTCGTCGACGACGGCGTGGTCGTGGTAGAAGGACCGCACGTGGTGGTCCGGGTGGATGCCGAAGGACGCGACAAAGTCGTCGATGACGCGGTGCAGCGCGACGCCCGCGAAGAAGCCCCCGCGCGCGAGTTCGAGAAATCGCGCCGCGCCCCGGGGCGCCCACGCGGGGAAGATCTCGAAGTCCAGCGTCGCGTGCTTCGGCGCGTTCGTCAGCGCGCAGGACACGGTGATCACCTCCGGCGCGAGCACGTGGAACGCGTCCGTCGCGTCGACGGCGACGACGCGCCGATTCCCGCCGGCGTCGTCGTAGCTGAAGCGCTGGCCCGCGTGCGTGAGCTGGACCTGCTGGCCGCCGCGGGGCGCCACCGTCGCCACCTTGACGCGCCGGCCGCCGTTGACCGCGGCGCTCGGCGGCTCCCAGTAGAGGTCCACGGGCTCGGCCTGCTCGTTGCGGAAGACCGCGTCGACCGCTCCCTTGCCCCGGCTCGAGAGCATGACGACGTGCGCCGTCGTCGCCTCGACGACCTGGCGCTGGGCGTCGCCGGCGGCGTCGGTGTAGACGAAGGCGTGGCCCGCCCGCGTCGTCTGCGTGAGGTTGCCCTTGCTCGGGATCGTGCCCACGGGCAGCAGGGGGCTGCCGTCGCTCGGGTCCCAGAAGAGCTCCAGGGCGTCGCTGTGGTTGTTGAAGAACCAGACGTCCAGCGCTGCTGCCGGCAAAGCAAGCAAGACGAGCAGCGCGCGCGCAGTCGCCGCCATCGGATCGCGGGTGTCACCGCAAACAACGCGGCAGCATCAGCCAGGAGAAGCGAAAAAAGAGGATAAAAAGAGGGGCTGGGCCTATCTTATTGGCGGGCAGCCCCGGGCGCGCTCTCGCGCGTCTCCCAGTGCGCGAGTCCGCGTGCGGATCATGCCGCCCCGCCTGAGCAAGAAGACGGCGTCGAAGACGGCGGCGAAGAAGAGCGGCGCGGCCCTCGAGGCGCCGTCCGCCGGGCCGTCGGCGAGCCGCGCGGAGTCCCTCGACGACGAGCGCGACGACGGCGACACCTGGACGCGCGTCGGCGGGGGCGTTTCCCGCGACGAACCCTACGACGGCGGCGCGGCGGGCGCGCTCACGTCCTACCTCTTCGGCGCGCCGCCGGCGGGCCCGCGCAAGCCCGCGGCCGGCGTGTCGTACAACGACTACATGGCGACGCACGAGCACCGCGACCGGCGCCCGCGCAAGCCCCCGGACGCCCTCGCCGACTACGAGGAGACCGAGGAGGGCTTCGCGCGCGAGGTCACCCTCGACCGCGCGGGCCGCGCGGAGCGCGACGACGACGACCCGGACTTCTGTACCATGTCCTGCGGCGTCGGCGCGTCGAGCCTGATCTCGTAAAAAAAAGCTGTGGTCGTCGCGCCGCCGCTCCGAGGAGTCGCGCCGCGGGAGCGCGCGCCGAGGGCATTACGCCGCGACGTCCATCGCCGCGCGCGCGCGCCGCGCGGCGGCGGCCTGGCGGACGACGCCGAGAAGCTGCGCCTTCCCCCCGCCGCTGAAGAGCTCGAGCGTCGCCAGCCAGGGCACGAGGCCCCCGGAGCCGCCCCGACTCGGGACGGCCGCGTCCGGCGCGTCGAAGACGCGCTTCAGGTCCGCCCACACGTAGCCCCATCGGTGATGTTTCCGGCGGCACGTCTCGTCGATCTCGTCGCGCCAGTCGGGCAGCGCGCGCGGCTGCCAGTCCGTCGCCCAGGCGCCGTCGGCGACGACGTGCGCGAACCACTGGCCCCGCCACGCGCGGGGCTCGCGCGCGGCCGCGTCGCCGAGCCAGAAGACGGTCGTCGCCGACGGCGGCGCGAGGAGCTCGGGCGGGAGCGCGACGTCCTCGTACGTCGCGGGCGGGTCCGGCGGGTACGCGCGCGCGGCGAACGACGTCGTCGCCTCGCCGCGCGGCGGCGTCCCGCCGCCGGCCTCCTCGATGAGCTCGCGCAGGGCCGCGTGCCAGAGCGCGAGCGTGCGCTCGTCCGGCGCCGCGCCGGTGTCGTAGGCGACCCGCTTCTCGCCGGCCTCGATGGCCCCGCAGGGCGGGCAGTAGAGCTGGGGGTGGGGCACGATCTTCGACCGCCGCTGGAGCAGGACCTCCACGCCCTCGCCGTCCCAAGACGGCGCGTCGAGCCGCGCGCTGTCGACGATGCGCAGCAGGACGACGCCGACCATGCTAGCATCGATCTCCGACCATGCTATCTGCGGGCTTCCTAATTGAAACACCAGCCTCAACACAACTTCAAGCTTGTTGCTCGCCAAACGTTGTGGACATCCTCGTCCAGCCACTCCACCATCGCGCCGTCCACGACCGCTGCCACACCACAGCCATGCCTTCCGCCGAGCTCGAGGACCCGCTCCTCGAGGACCCGGTGCCGCCGAAGCCGGGCTCCACGTTCAAGGGCGTCGCCGTCGAGCTCAAAGAACTCGGCGCCCTGACGGCCGGCTTCTTCGTGTCCAGCGTCTCCTGGGTCATCATGAAGACGACGGACACGGCGCTCCTCGGCCACGTGGGCACACGCTACCTCGACGCGTCGGCGCTCTCGGACCTCTACACGCAGTCGACGGGCGTCTTCATCCAGGGCCGCGTGCTCGGCATCTTCGTCTCGCAGGCGTACGGCGCGGGCAACTACGCGCTGGCCGGCGCGTGGCTCCAGACGTCCTACGTCGTCCTCGCCGTCGTCGCGCTGCCCGTCGTCGCCGCCTGGAGCTGCACGGGTCTGGCGCTCCAACTGTTCGGCGTCGACGACGCGACGCTGCGGAACGACGCGGCGTTCTACGCGTGGGTGCTCATGGCGTGCATCCCGGCGCGCGTGGGCTTCTCGCAGCTGACCCAGTTCTTCAGCGCCCAGAAGCTCATGCGGCCGTCCTACGCGACGGCGCCCGTCGCCATGGTCCTGAACCTCGTGCTCGGGCTCGCGCTCGTGCTGGGGGTCCCGTTCCTGGGCTTCAAAGGCTTCGGGTTCCCCGCGTGCCCCGCGGTGACGTCGGGCGTCGAGTTCTTCCAGCTCGCGCTCGTCGTCTACCTCTTCTGCTACCGCGAGCGGCTCCAGGACGCGTGCCGGCCCGACGGCGGCTGGCTGCGTCTCGACAACGTGACGAAGGAGCGGTGCGTCGCGTACGCCAAGCTCTACGTGCCCGCGGCCCTGTCCATCGCGTCGGACTTCTGGCGCGTCGCGGCCATCGGCGCCGTCGCCGCGACGCTGTCCAAGGACGACCTGGGCGTCTTCAACGCGTCCTACCGCATCATGTGGATCTGCCTCACGTTCATCGGGTCCTTGGGCGGCGCGGTGTCGACGAAGCTCGGCATCCGCCTCGGCGCGAACGACGCCGCGGGCGCGAAGCAGGGCGTCTACGTGGGGCTCGCCCTCGCGCTGGCGATCCTCGCGGCGTTGGCCCTCGTCGTCGTCGCGATCCCGCGCGAGCTCGGGTCCATCTTCACGTCGGACCCGACGTTGCTGGACGTCTTCGAGAAGATCCGCGTGCCCCTGGCGACGACCGTCTTCACGATGAACGCGGCCGTCGTCTTCGAGCGCGTGCCCATGGCCATGGGCCGCACGCGCGCGGTGCTGATTTTGGGGTTCGCGGGGTCGTGGGTCGGCCAGGTGCCCGCGGTGCTTTTGTGCGTCAACTTCTGGAAGCGCGACCTCGTCGCCGTCTACACGGGCGTGTCCATCGGCTACGCGCTGCTGACGCTGCTCCTCGGCTCCCTCGTCCTCTCGACGGACTACGACAAGTACGCCAAGGAGGCGCGCGACCGCAGCGAGATGCCCGCGGCCTCCGTCGACGGCGGCGACGACGACGCCTAGGCGCGACCTAAGCTCTTTGTATGTCAAGACTATAACTCCCGCGTCGCCTAGATGTTCTTAAGCTTGTAGAGGAGGACCTTGCCGCGGTCGTTGCCGATGGCGAGGAGCGACGAGTCCCGGTTGAGCGCGAGGGCCGTGACGTAGTGGAGGGGCGTCTTCGACGTGGGCCAGTTCGGCGACACCTTGAGCGACGGCAGGTGGAGGATGCGCAGCGCGTCCTTGGCCCACTTGGAGGAGAAGGCGACGATCTTCTCGGACGCGACGACGGTGTCGACGGTCGTCGTCAGCGAGAGCACCGCGCGCGCGGGCGCCGCCGGCGCCCCGCCGCCGAAGCCCGCCGGCGGCGCGACGACGCCGGCGCGGTCGTAGGCGTTGAGGACGCCGCTCTCGGAGGCGACGTGGAGCCAGTGGTCCCGCGTGCCCGGCCGCGGCGCGCAGCACAACGCGGACGTCGGCGACGCGCCCGCGTCGCCGAACTTCTCGACGCAGCGGTTCTTCCGCAGGTCCCAGACGTAGACCTCGGCGTCGCCGCCGCTCGAGTACAGCAGGTGGGAGCCCGCGGGGCCGAAGGCGACCGCGCGGGCCGTGCCGTTCATCTTGAGCTCGTCGGGCAGCCACGAGCCCCTTTTCGCGTCGCACAGGAGCACGCCGCCGTCGTGGCCCGTGAACGCCAGCAGCTCGCCGTCGGGCGCCGCGGCGAAGCGCTCGAGGGACTTGTCCTTGGACCGCGGCCGGCCCGCGATCTTCGTCGCGGCCTCGGCCTGGACCTGTGTGGAAATCAACCAGTGAGCTGGGACGTCGGGGCCAAACTCGAGGATTCTCTAGCTCGGTCACATCGAAGTCGATTCGGCTGATTTTTGGACGAATCGATTGCTCTCGTCGAGTTCTCGAAGCCCAGCCGAAGAGCTCGTGTCAAAACATTCGCATACGCGCACATTGAAGTCGGGTTGAAGATTTGATTTGCACACCGGCCTGGACGTCGTAGCGGTAAAAGTAGGGCCGCCGCCCCGCGACGACGGCGACGCAGGACGAGTCGCGGGCCACGGGCAGGAAGCCGCCGCAGTGCACGGGCAGGTCGCCGACGTGGAGCTGCGACGCGAGCGCGTTCTCGCGGCCGTCGACGTGGAAAAACCTCACCGTCTTGTCGAAGCCCGCGGCCATGAGCAGGTCGAGCTTCCCGTGGAAGGACACGCACTGGATGGACGCCTTGCCCGGGAGCTTCACGTTCGCGTCGGCGACGCGCTCCACGCGGAGCTCGCCGCCGTCGTCGGCCTCCATGGCCGCGGCCGCGTCCGCGAGCTCCGAGTCGGGCATCCGGTCGACGGCCCACGCCTCGCCGCTCTGCTGCGCGAAGCGCTCGCGGAGCCGCGACTCGAGCTCGCCGCCGTCGAGGACGCCGTCGCCCGTCGTCTTCCGCAGCTTCCGCAGGCGCGACGCGCTCCGCAGGTCCACGGCGACGTCGTCGTCGTCGTCGTGCCAGGCGGCGCCGGACGCCGCCGGCGCGGCGTCGGCCGCGTCGTCGGGACCGTCGCGCGCCGCGCCGAAGACGTCGGCCTCGAGGGCATCCTCGTCGCAGGCCGCGGGCCGCTTCCTCGGCTCCCGGGCCGTCCAATCCTCGAAGTCGGCCATCGTTCGATCGCTAAGCTGAAGCGCTGATGAAGGGCACTGTTCCGTTGAAGGACTCGTTGATCCGCCTCGGCCAGACTTAGGCCACGACTTAGGCGCCCCGCGCGCGCCTATCGCCCCCAACGCGGGTTGGTGTCGTTCACCAAGTGGCAATTCGCGCACTTGAGGAACGACATGTCCTCGTGCGTCTCCTTGAGGATCACGGGCTTCGCGGACTCGGGGCACAACTTCCGACACGCGCCGCCGACGCCGCTGTCCTTGCCGCACGGCGAGCGCCACTTGAGATACTCGGTGGAGAGGTGATGAGCGAAGTGCATGCCCATGCGGTTCTTCGCGGTGACCTTGAGCCCGCAGTCCTTGCACTGCCCGATCCGCGCCTTGATCTCGTTGACGAGGGCGAAGTTCTCCTGCCGGTTGTTGTAGGCCTTCTTCGCCTTCATGATCTCACTGCGTTTCTCCTGCGTCTCAGCCTTGTCCTCATCCATGCCCCGCAGGATCAGCCCGTTCCGCGCGTCCTCGTCCGACTTGGCGATCGAGCGTAGGTTCCCGTCAACTTGATTGCACAGCGCACATAGCCAGATCGTCTTCCGGTCCTTGATGCTCGTGAACTTGTTCGCGAGGCCGCGCTCCATGGACCAGCTCACCGGCTGGTTGTGGACGGTTCCGTCCCGCGACGTGAATTCTCGTCGAGGCTTTTCTTCGGGTTCCAGGTGCTGTTGTTGAGCGGCCTTGTAGCTCTTCTCCGTGAACTTGTGGCCCTTGCAGAACTTGCCCGCACACTTGCGCCCGATCGTCTCTGCCCGCTTATAAGCGTCGGTCGCCGCGTCGTCCGAGGCCGAGGTCTCGAGTCGACGCTTCTTCCTCTTGTTGTGGCAGGGGTCGCAGACGCCCGAGACGTTGCTCTTGACACTGAAGAACGACCAGTCGGCGATGCCGCCGGAGCCGTCGACGGCGAGCTGGCACTTGAGCTCCTGGAGGAAGGCGTGCTTCTTCGTCGGGTTCTGGCGCGGTGCGAAGAGGCCGATCTTCTCGGCGTTGGCCGTCTCGGCGTCCGCGCGCGCGGCGGCGGCCGAGGGCGCGCTCGCGGCCGCCAAGGCGACGAACGCGGCGCTCGAGGGCGACCTCGCGGCCGCGCGGGCCGCGGCCGCGGACGCGCGCGCGGCCGCGGCGTCGGCCGCGCGCGACGCGGACGCCGCGTTCGCTCGGGACCGGGCCGCGCTCGAGGGCGAGCTCGCGGCCCTCGGCGCCGCGGCCGCCCGCGACCGGGCGCGCCTCGAGAGCGAGGTCGCGGCCGCGGCGCGCGCGGCCGCGGACACGACCGCGGCGCGCGGCGTCGCCCTCGGTGACGCGCTCGCGGCCGCCGAGGCCGCCCGGGCCGCGCTCGAGGGCGACCTCGCCGCGGCGCGGGCCGCGGCCGGCGCCGCCGCGGCGTCGGCGGCGTCGGCGCTCGCGGCCGCGAAGGCCGACGGCGCCGCGGCCGCCGACCGCGCGGCCGCGGCGGACGCGCGCGCGGAGCGGGCCGAGGCGGCGCTGCGGACGCTCCGCGGCGACATGGACGCGCTCCGCGAGTCCACGGCGCGCGAGCTCTCGACGTACAAGGCCCAGGTCGGCGCGCACGAGGCGAACGCGCGCGCGCGCGCCGCGTCCGCGGCCAAGGCCGCCGCGCCGCCGCCAAAGCCCACGCCGGCGCCGCCGCCGCGCGCGGCGCCCGCGCCCGCGCCGCCCGCGCCCGCGCCCGCGCCGCCCGCGCCTCGGGTCGAGACGCCGGAGCGGCGGCTCGAGAAGGCGTCCGCGTCGCTCAACACGTGCTCCAAGACCGCGGCGATCTGGGCGAAGCGCATCGCCGACGGCCGCGAGGAGCAGAAGACGAACGTCTTCTCGAAGCACTACGTCGCCGGCGCGGGCGCCGCGCCGGGCAAGGGCGCGGACTACGGCCGGCCGCCGCCGGGCAGCGAGACGGAGAAGCGCTGGCAGAGGGGCAAGGCCTGGGTCGACGAGCAGATCGCGGGGCTGATCAAGGTCATCCGCGACATCGGCGACACGGACGCGGCCACGGGCACGACGACGGTCAAGTTCGGCGCGCTCTTCTACACCTACGCGGATATCTCCGACTCGCTCGTCGGGATCATGATGCGCGCGAAGAAGCGCAAGCGGCTCTACTACGAGGGCGACATGCTCTTCCAGGGCAGCTCCGACAACGTCATCGTGAGCGTGCCGAAGGACGCGTAGTTTAGAGTTAGTCACGCCGCGCTGCCGCGCTTCGAGCCGCGGACCTCGAGCTCCAGGGCCGCGGGCTTCCGGAGGACCTCGGCCCGCGCGGCCTCCGGCGAGCCGAACTCGCGCTCGAGGCGCGCCACGCTCGGCGCGACGTCCGCCTCGTACTCTCACGAGTGATCTCACGCGAGTTTTTGTGAAGTCTCGTTGAGGCCGCTCTCACCACTGCCACTCTGCGTCAGCACTGCCTCGACGCTGCTCAGCGTCGCACCGCATCGCACCTGCTCGACGCACGATGCTCGCCAAGACCATGACATACGTGCTCGCATTCGCGCTCGCCACCACCTCGGCCCTGCGCGCGCCGGCGGCGCGCCAGCTCGGCGCGCGGGCGACGCTCGCCCGCGGCCCCGCGGCCGCCGCCGCGCCGCCGCGCCGCGGCGTGGTGCTCTTCGGCGAGGACGACGACTACAGCGCCCCCAAAATCGAGTTCTCCGAGGAGCAGCTCGCGTCGGGCGGCGGCGTCGACCTGTGGGCGTCTTGGAAGACGGCCATCTACGGCGGGTCCGTGCTCATCGGCCTCGCGCTGCCCCTCTTCTTCTTCTTCGTGCGACCCTGAGGCCCGCGCGCGGCGCCGCGTAAGGAGGAAGAAGGAAATGTCGTCGCGGCGCGCGGAGGGTAGGGCGGCCGGCGAGCGCGCGGCCGGCCGGTCGGCCGAGGTCCCGCGCGGCCGCGGCGCCGCCAGGCCATGGGCGGCGGCGGCGCCTGGAAATTGAGATATGTGGACGAGGACCCCCGCCGTCGCTATTCGTGCTGAAGCGGCGGACGGACGACGTCGGGCCGCGGGACGTGCTGGCCGACCCGGCGCGGTTCATGGAGGACCCGGACTAGGAGTGGTCGTTGCGTAAGGTTGCACAAAGTATTAGCCCTTCTTCTCAGCGGCGAGCTGCCGCCGCAGCCTCGCGAGCTCGTTTTCGGCAGCCGCGCGCGCGGCGGCCTGGACCTCGTCCCGCTCGCGCTTCTCCCGGTCCCGCTCCGAGTCGCCGGCGGCCCGCGCGGCCATCGCCTGGAGCAGGCCCATGCGGAGGAGCGGAACAGTGCCACCAAGCCCGCCGTCGTGGCAGCCGCCGACGAACTCGCCGCCCGCGAAGACCTGGGGCACCGTCCGCGAGCCCGTCAGCTCGCGTAATCGCGCCCGCTGCCAGTCGCTCGCGGAGACCTCCGTGAACGCCACGCCGGCGCCGCGAAGGGCGGCCTTGGCCTCGTCGCAGAACGGGCACCCCTCTGCCGAAAATACGACGACGGGCGCCGCGGCGACGATCTCGGCGATGGGCGTATAGGCTCGCCGCCGCGCCGCGAGGATGGCCGCCTCCTGCGCTTCCGTCGGGTTATCCCCCATCTTTTCCAGCTCTTCGTCGGTAAAATTGCTCCGCCATCCTTTGTACCTCACGTTTTTGACTCGGGTGAACTGCTCCCCGTCCCACCCGGCGTTCCGCTCGTCCGTCGGATCGGCCGGGATGGACCACTGCTTTCCCGAGGACAGCAGGAAGGCGTAGATCCCGCCGCCGAAGAACAGGACCACGCCCGCGCCCAGGACGGCGTCAGACGGCCCGCGCACGCCATACCGGTGCCACCGGTCTGATTTCCAGGCGGCGAGGTTCTCGCGGCTCGTTTCGGACCGCTCCTTGGTCGACGTCAGTGCGCGGCGTCGCGTCGACGGTGGTGGTCGTCGTGGGAGGCGCGCGGCGGCGCCGCGCAGACCCCGGAGCAGCGCCATGGCCTGATCAATCCCTGTGGACAGGCCCAGATCGCAGGGCTGCGGGCATTGTCTATGTTAGAATGCTTGTGCGAACGGCAATGCATCTTCAAGGAGAAAGTTTCCTCACTGGCAAAATCGCACGATGGCCCGCCAACTCGCGGTGCTCGCCCTCGCCATCTCGACGACCTACGGCGCCTGGGGCCCGCGGGAGGCGCTCGTCGCGCACGAGATCGTCCACGAGGCGTCGCACGAGGCCGAGGCGTCGGCGGCGGGCGGCGCGGATGCCCACGGCGAGGCGGGCCTCGCGCATCTCCAGGCCGTCGTCGACGACGAGCGCGCGACGGTCGCGAAGATCAAGAAGACGGGCGTCGACATGTACAAGGACGCCGGCGCCGTCGCGGCCGTCGGGCGCTTCCAGGCCGCGACGCGCCGGTTGCTGGAGGCGCGGTTCGGCCCCGGGCCGTCCTACCGGCTCGAGATGCGCGTGACCTTCCCCGAGTCCATGGGCGGCGACGCGGCGGTCATCGAGCTGGAGACGGCGCCCATCGCCTGGATGCCCCACGCCGTCTACGTGTTCCTCGACGCCGCGGTCACGCGGAAGGGCCCGAAGTGGTCCGCGGCGTTCCATCGGAACGCGGGCCACGTGCTCCAGGCGTTCCTGCGCGCGGGCCCCGGCGCGATGGGGCTCGCGTTTCAGGAGTACGACGCGCGCTTCCCGCACGAGAAGTACACGCTGGGCTTCGCGGGGCGGCCCGGCGGCCCCGAATTTTACATCTCGACGGTCGACAACGTCGCGAACCACGGGCCCGGGTCCCAGGGCTCGAAGACGGAGGCCGACTCGTGCTTCGCCAAAGTCGTCGGCGGCTTCGACGTCGTGGAGAGGATGCGAAAACAGCCCGCGCCCAAGGGCATGGGCTTCATCAACGACCCCGCGGGCTACGTCGTCATCGACGACATCTTCCTCAAGGACCCGTAAGGCTTACCTCGCCCTTTTTATGTCGCCCCTACTCGAGGGGCAGCGGCGGCTCGACGGCGCGGGAGAGGTGGATCGTCGTCGGCCCGCGCGCGCCGTCGGGCGCCGCGTGGTCGTCGAAGCCGCGGCCCGGCGGGGGGGGCGACGCGGCGGCGTCGTCGCTCTCGCGGTGGGCGCAGCAGATGAAGTGCGTGCCCTCGGCGAAGGCGACCTGCCGCGGCGGCCGCTGCATCTTCCGCGGCGTCGGGATCGGGCTGTCCTCGGCGGCCGCGTCGCGCGGCGCCGGCGGCGACCGCGGCGACTTGGGGTCGCCGGACGAGCCCCGGGACAGGAGCGGCCGGCGCACGTGCTTGTGGAAGAAGGTCTCGCACCAGCGCTTCGCGTTGCCGAGCTCGTCCCACAACGTCTCCTGCGTCGCCTCCGTCGCCGGCGTGATGCAACTCATCGTGTCGATGCCCAACGACTTCCGCCGCTGGACCTCCGCGCACGCGAAGAACCGCATGTCCTCGTAGGTGTACCAGCACTGGGACTTGAGGTCGTCGTCGCCGAGGACCGCCGGCGCGTCCAACGGCGGCTTCGCCAGCGTCACGAGGTCGTCGAAGGACACGGACTTCTTGCGGCCGCCCTCGCTCGACGACACGCTGTCGCTCCGCTTCAGGCTGCTCTTCTTCAGGCGCCCGTTGCGCAGGCCGTTGCTGCTGCAGCTCCGCGTGAGCGGGTCCCGGTCCTCCTTCGTCTCCACGTGCGGCAGCGGCTCGAACTCGAGGCCCTCCATGGCGCAAATGCCGCCCGGCGCCGGCGCACCGAGGAGCGCCCCGGCGCCGGGTGTCCCGCGCGCGTCCACGGAGGCTCTTTACGGCGCGCGGCGGCGAAGAATCGGCGGACCCGCGAGGCCCCGGCGCGCCGCCGGCGGGCCAGACCAGTTTTCGGCAGCCACCAGCCCCAGCTTTTCGTCCAAGCTTCTAAGATGCGGCCGCCGGTTATCTGCATGCAATGTATCTTTGTGCACGTGATGGCACTTCAGTCCCCGGGGGCTACTTCTTCGGCGCACCACATATGGCGCGGAGAACGCCACTACTGCTCGCGGCCGTGGTCGCCGTCCTCGCCCCCCGGGCGTCGGCCCGCTGCGACTACCGCGTCGGGGGCAAGTGCTGCACGGGCGCCAACTCCCACGGGGCGCCGGGGCTCGACCTCCTCACGAGCCGGGTCACGGTGTCGAAGCAGAGCACGACGGCCGACGGGGGCTACGTTGTCGACCTGCGGCTGGACCTGCGCTTCCTCGAGACGGACGACGACCTCTGGTGGCCCGTGACCTGGGGCCACCTCGTCGAGAGCCACGGCCGCGAGATCCACGTCTTCTTGGTCCACGAGGACCTGGGCAGCGTCTGGCACGTGCACGGCCAGCGGGGCCAGGCGCACAGCGACCTCGAGCGGGCCTGCGTGGACCGGGGCGTCTGGTACGCCGAGGGCGGGGGCTGCGACTGGGTCGCCGAGGACCCGGAGGGCCGCTGCGGCCTCGAGTCGACGAACACGGGCGAGCGCGGCCACGACGGCTGCCCCTGCGCCTGCAACACGCAGTTCGCCGAGTTCTTCTACGCGCGCGACGTCGCGCTGAGCGTCGGCGGCACCTACCGCGTCCTCGTGACCTACGTCGTCGACGCGGACTCGCTCCGCATGCGCGCCCGCCGCGTCCGGCGACCGTTGACTATCCGTTGACTCTTTCGTGCCCAGGTGCGTCGCCGAGGAGAGCGTGCACACGCACCCCGGCGGGTCCGCGATCCACGTCATGTCCGCGGAGACGTCCGTCGTGCGCGTGGGCTTCTCCTACCGCACGCCCCTCGACGAGGAGACGCCCTGGGACGTGAGCGCGACGGTGGCCGCGGGGCTCCACGACCTCGCGGACGTGGGTGTGGATTATCGGGACGAGGTGACGACGACGCGCGCGCGGCTCATGCGCGGCGGCGCGTGCGACGCCGACGCCGCGGAGGCGGACGTGCGGCTCGAAATCGAGGCGCTCGAGGACTCGGCCTACCCCGCGGACCTGTCGTCGCCGGCGGACGCGGATCCGGCGCTGTTCCTCGCCGCGCCGGGCTGCGCGCTCCTCCGGTGGACCGTCGCCGGCGAGACCCTGGCGCCCTACCTCGGCGTCGCGGCCCACGTGCTCGTGGCGAGGCTGGACCTCGCGGCGTCGGCCTTCGGCTACGCCGGCGAGCCGCCCTACACCTTCCACTTCCACGGCGCGACGCCGGAGAACGTCGAGCGCGAGTCCGCGTGCGCGGCGAACCACCTCGACTTTGCGAGCGACGCGTCCGCGAGCGACCTGGGCCACGTCGTCGTCGGGTCCGCGGTCTTCCCCGAGCCGGGCGTCTACCTCGTCGCCGCGTTCATGGCCGCCGACGGCGGCTGGACCGCGCTCCCCGCGACGCACGCGGTCTTCGTCGGGGGCTACTGCGCGGGCGCCGCGTCGCCGGCGCCGGCGACCTGCGCCGGGGCCTGGCGGGCGGCGGCGCCCTCCTGCGCCGCGGGGGGCACGGACGGGCCCACCGTCGTGCCCGGGACGCCGTCCGCGGCGCCCGTCTTCGCGCCGACGCGCGGCGCGCGGGCGTCCGCGGCCGCGGCCGACGACGACGCGGCCGCGGCGAACACGTTCGTCGTCCTCGTCGTCTTCCTGCCCTGCATGGTCCTCGTCATGCTGCTCCTCTACCTCAAGGTCACGCGCGCGGCGCCGCGCGCGCCGGACCCGGCGGCCGAGGAGCTCCGCGCGCCGCCGTCGCCGGGCGCGGCGCCGCCGCCGCCGCCGGCCTGGATCTCGGCGCCGCCCAAGGAGCGCGCGAGCGAGATCGAGCTCCCCCTCGCCAACGGCACGGACCCCAACGCCGGCGGGATATGTTAGTGTCCACACTCATCTAGTAACATCCCCTCTTTTTTTTAAGTCAGCCCCTTGGCTCGCTGAGGGCGGTCGAAGATCAGCCCGGTCCGGCCGCGTCCGACCCCCGGGGAGGTTTTTTAGTGGACGCTGCAAGTTGCGCGAAATAACGGGCAGGGCAGCCTCTGGTGGCCACTGCGCCGTGCGGCCGCGGACGTTCCGCGCGTCGACGGCCGCGCCCGCGTCCAACAGCGTTCCCGATGTTTGCCGAGGCGCCGCGGCTCGGCTACGACGCGCGGCGCCGCGACGACGCGGACACGGCGAGCGACGTGAGCGACGCCGAGGACTTCCTCCGGTCCATCGACGGCGACGCGTCGCGGGGCTCGCGGCGCGGGCGCTACGACTACGACCGCCGCGACCTGGGCGCCGTGAACCGCGGCCACTACCTCGGGGACTCGCGCGTGGCCGGCAGCCCCCAGCGGCCCCGGGACTGGGCGCGCGCCGACGAGATCCTCGGGCCCATGACGGCGCCGGCGTCGTCGTCGCGGCTCGCGTCGCCGGACGACGACGGCCGCTTCCGCCTCGCGGCGTCGGCGCTGCGGTCGCCCGTGCGGGACCTGCGCAAGGACCCGCACCTCGTGCTCCACGACGTCAAGGCGACCTGGTCCCCCGACGGCGAGCTCGTGCGCGTGGACCACGGCCGCGGCGGGTCGCCCGGCGGCCGCGAGGAGTCGCCGCCGTCCGCGCTCGCGCGGAGCCGCCACTTCGGCGCCGCGCCGGCGCTCGGGGACCGCGGCCGCCGCGAGTTCGAGGCGCCGCGGCCCGCCCTCGCGTCGGCCCTCGCCGCCGCGGCCGCGGCCGCGGACGTCGCCGCGGCCCGCGCCGGCGGCGCGTCCGATGGGGCGGCCGTCGCGACGCTCGGCCACGTCGCCGAGATCCTCGCGCGGGCCATCGCCCAGATCGCCCTCGGCCACGACGGCCCCGGAAACGCGCCGGCGCCCGCGCCGGCGCCCGCCGAGCCCGCGGCGTCGTCGCCCGCGGACGCGCTCGCGGCGCCGGGCGCCGCCGCGGCGCCCGCGCCCGCGCCCGCGCCCGCGGCGGACGCCTGGACGGCCCAGGTCGACCCGGGCTCCGGCGCGACCTACTACCGCAACGAGGCCACGGGGGAGGTCTCGTGGACGGACCCGACCGCGGCCGCGCCGCCGGCCGGCGCCGCCGCGGCCGACTGGGTCGAGGCCGTCGACCCGGGCTCGGGCGCGACCTACTACACGAACAGCGCCACGGGCGAGACGTCCTGGACCAAGCCCGACGACGCCGCCGCCGCCGCCGCCGCGCCCGCGGGCGACTGGGTGGAGGCCGTCGACCCGTCGACCGGCGCGACGTACTACACGAACGCGGCGACGGGGGAGACGTCCTGGACCAAGCCCACGGACTACGCGAGCGCGGAGCCCGCGGACTCGGAGTGGGCCGAGCAGACGGACCCGTCCACCGGCGCCGTCTACTACCTCAACATGACCACGGGCGAGTCCGCCTGGACGAAGCCCTGAGGGCGGCGTTTTTCTTTCGAAGTAAAGGCGCGGCGCCCCTCGCTAGCTCGACCTTAGGAAGAAGCCGTCGCCGTCCGTGGCGAGGCCGAGGCCCTTCGTCGTCCGGTAGACGCGCTTCAACAGCCGCGACAGCGGGAACGTCTCGCCGGCCATGAGCGTCTCGTGGCGGCGCGCGTCCCCGCGGTTGAAGACGACGACGCAGGGGATGCCCTCGTCGAGGATGCCGAGGTCCGCCGCGAGGGCCGCGCCGCCGTCGCCGTCGATGTTGACGCGCGCGGGCTCCAATCGGCTCGCCTGCGCCGCGAGCTCGAGCCACGTGGGCTCGAACTCCTGGCAGTAGCCGCACATGCCGGAGAAGAACTCCACGAGGAAGACGCGCCGCGACGCGCCGACGACGGCCCGGAACTCGTCCGCGTCGCGGATCTCGCGCCGCTCGTTGGCGCCGGAGCCCAGGGCGACGAGAGAGACGGCGGCGAGGAGGGCGCGGCGCGCCATGGGCGCGCGCGGAAGCGAGGCGCCCGGGCGTCGCGGCCTTTGGAAGCGAGGCGCCCGGACGTCGCGGCGATGCGTGCTGCGTTCGAGGCGAATCACAACCGCACAGCCTCACGCAGCAGGCCGCGGCGGCATCTCCTCCTCAAGTGAAGCTCAACAACGAGTTCGCAGAGCAGAATGGGCGCCTTCCTCCGAGCGATCGGCTGGGGCAGCCTGGCGCCGTCGGACCCGGCGGTCGTCGCCATCGGCTGGATCGGCTCGGCCGCCGCGCGGTTCCCGCGTCCCCGAGGCGAGACCGCCGCGCGCACGCGCCCCGGGCAGGCCTTCTTCTTGTTCCTCAGTCCGCTCGCGACGTTCCGGCGCATCGCCAAAGAGGGCGAGGTCCGGGACTTCGACTACGCGCCCTACGTCGCGAGCCTCATGAACTGCGCGCTCTGGACGACCTACGCCGTCATCACGCCAGGGCGGCTGCAACCGCTCGCGGGCGGCCCGCGTCGGGAGCGCCCGCGCGACGTCGCGGCCACCGCGGGCGGCGCAGGTCACGAACGCCGGCGGCGGCGCGCTGGAACTCGCCTACTGCCTCGTCTTCCTCCGCAACGCCCGGGGCGCCGCGCGCGCGCGCGCCGCGCGAGCGCTCGCCGCCGCCGTCGCGACGGTCGTCGCCGTCGACGCGCTCGCGTGCCTCCTCGCGGCGCGCGTCGGCGCGCCGAAGCTCCCGGGCGACAACCGCGCCGCGTCCGTCATCGGCAGCGCGCCCCGGCGTCGAGTGGCCGGCGCGTTCGTTCGAGCGCATCTCGTCCCTTCGGTAGGCGTCGCTGCCGTCATGAACGTGCTCATGTACGCCGCGCCGCTCAACGTCGCGCGCGTCGTCGTCGCGACGGAGTCCGTCGAGTTCATGCCCCTGGGCCTCACGCTCGGCACGCTCGCGTGCTCCGTGTCGTGGACGACCTACGCGCTCCTCGTCGGCGACGCGACGATCCTCGCGCCCAACGTCCTCGGCGACGTGCTCGGCGTCGCCCAGGTCCTCCTCTACGCGCGCTACGCCCGCGCCAAGCCCGCCGAGGCGGCCGCGGCCGACGGCGGCGGCCTGACGACGGGGCTCCTGCAGTAGGCGCCGAAAGTAGCGGACATGGGCTACTCCAGGACGTGGAGCGCCGCGGCGCGGAGCTTGCCGTCGGCGCTCGCGTAGTGGTCGCAGAACTCGAGGACCGCGCGCGCGTTGCCGGCGTCGCCGCCGATGCGGGCGGCGAGGGACCGCTCGCAGAGCCGGACGAGGTTCGCGACGCGCGCCTCGTCCGCGGCGACGAGGAGCGCCATCGTCTCGGCCGGGTCGTCGAGGGCCACGGCGTCGGGCCCCGCGTAGACGTAGGCCAGCAGCTGCCTCGCGACCGCCGGCGCCGCCGCGGCGTAGTCGATCGCGCCGCCGCGGCCCTGCTCGCGCGCGAAGCGGAGCATGGCCGCGAAGTACTCGTAGCGCGCGAGGATCGCCCCGTGCGCCATCAAAACCGTCCCGCCGCGGACGCGCAGCGTCGCGTCGGCGCCGACGGCGTCGCCGACGGCGCCCGCCATGTCGTCGGTGAACGTCGACGACACGCGGGCCCCGGCGCAGAGGTCCGCGAGCGCCGGCAGCGCGAGCGCCGCGCGCGAGCGCCGCGAGGCGCGGCCGCCGGTGCGCCGGCGCGGCGACGCCTACGAAGCGCGACGGTGGCGACGGCGGCCCCGGGGGCGGATGTCGCGGGACGCCGGAGCGCCGACGGTCCGTGTAGAGGTACTCGAGCGCGCTCCGGAGGAGCGGCGCGGTGACGCGCGCGCCGCCCTCGAGCGCCGCCGGGAACTCGAGGTCCTCGCCGCCCGCGGCCGCGAGCATGCCCCGGAAGTATTACGACCGGCGCGACAGGACCACGCGGTGGCACCGAAAGAACGCGCCGCCGACGCCCACGCGGACGTCGCCGGACGCGGCGTCGAGGAGCGGCCCGTAGAAGCCCGGCGCGTAGACGGAGCCCGCGTCGCGGACGACGCACGCGCAGTGCTTGCCGCCCGCGGCGACGGCGAGGACGTCGGCGACGTCGGGCACGACGTCGGGGCCCGGCGACAGGAACGGGCCCGCGCGGCCCCGCCCCAGGACGCCGAACGCGGGCCAGCCCCAGGTCACGAGGCGCCCGGTCCCGTCGACGGCGACGACGTGCGCGGACCCCGACGCCGCCGCCGCGAGGCCCCGGGGCGCCGTGAGCCGGGGCACGCAGTAGTACTCCGCGTCGACGTAGTCGCCGCGAGCGCCGCCGAGGTCGCCGTGCTGGCCGTACTCCTGCGACGGGGCGGCGCGTCCGCGGGGCTCGGGGGCGCGCGCGCCGTCGCGTCGACGGCGCCGGCGGGCGACCGCGTGGCCGAAGAACCAGGTGCCCCCCGCCTCGTCCAGGACGAGCCTACGAAGCATGACGGTCACGATTGCTCGTTGTGTTCCCACGCAAAATCTCTCGAAAGTCGTCGCGGCCACAGGACGCTGGGACGAGCGAGTGGTTCGCGCCCGCGGACAGCGCCGCGGGCGCCGCGCCGTCGCCGAGCGCGACGGGCACGGGCGCGAGGCGGCCCGTGACGCGGCGCCCGAGGCCGAGCTGGCCGAGCGCGCCCTGGCCGAAGGCGAAGAGGACGCCGTCGCAGATGGCCAGCGAGTGCTGGCCGCCCGCGGCGACGGCGGCGACGCGGCCGCGGAGACCGACGCGCTCGAAGCGCTCGAGGTTCACGCGGTGGCCGAGGCCGCACTGGCCGCGGTCGTTGTAGCCCGACGCGTAGGCCGCGCCGCTCGCGGCCCGGGCCAGGTTGTGGCCGTAGCCCGCCGAGACCTCGACGATGGTCTCGTGGAGGAGGCTACCGGCGAGGCGCGGCGCCGGCACGGAGGCCCGCCGCGCGTTCATACCTAGGCGGGGCGCGGCGTCGCCGCGGGCGGCGGCGCCGCCGGCGCGGGCCGCGCGCGCGCGAGGCCCACCGTGGCCCTCCGCTCGGCGCCGTCGTCGTCGCCCGACTCGGGCGCCGCCGTGAGCCAGCGCTCCGTGGACTCGCGGACGATGCGCGCGAGCGTCGCGTCCGCGCGCTGCGCGCCGCGGAGCTCCTCCGCGGGCGCGGCGCCCGCCGTCGTCGACGCCTCCATGGCCGTCGCGCCGGCGCCGGCCGCCGCCGTGTGGCAGAGGCCCCACTCGAAGACCTTGCCGGACGCCGTCGCGCAGAGGCTGTGGAACGCGCCGCAGGCGACGGCGACGGCGCGCTCGCCGCCGAGGCCGCCGACGACGCCGGGCGCCGCCGCGCCGCGGCCCTCGACGCCGCGGCCGAGCTGGCCCTCGCGTCCGCGGCCGAAGGACACGACGTCGCCGTGCTCCGTGGCGACGAGCGTGTGCGCCTCGCCGCAGGCGACGGCGACGGCGCGCTCGCCGCCCGTGCCCAGGTCCACGCGGATCGGCGACCGCGCGCACCAGCGCTTGCGCTGGCGCGCGTTCTCGCCGCCGAGCTCCTCCTTCGACGGCTCCGCGTCGCAGGCGTCCTCGGCGACGCCCAGCGCCAGCTCGCTGCCGCAGCCCCAGGTCCAGACGCTCATGGTTGGCCGCTTCCGGAAGCGCTGCGTCGCGTCGTGGCAGCACTCACACCGCGGAGAGAGCGCAAAGCTTGTTCGGGTTGGTTGGCCGCTTCCGAAAGCGCTGCACGCGGGTGCCAGCTCTCACGCGCGGAGAGCGCGATGCTTGTTCGGGCTGCATCATGAGGGAAACCTGAATGCCGTTGCCCCATCATGCCGTCGTCTCGTCGGGGCAGCCCTGGAAGCATGGAGCCATCGTTGGTCGACGGCGGCGCGTCGCCGTTGCGCACGGGCGCCGTCGTGTGCCTGGCGCAGGTCGTCGACGGCGTGACCTACCGCCTGCGCAGCTCGCGCTGCTGCCAGCTCGGCTGCAGCTTCGCGCCGGCGCGCGACGGCTTCCGCGAGGACTTCCAGTTCCGCGTCGTCGCCGCGCGGTCCTTCCCCGCGGCGTCGGCGCGGCGGCGGCCGCCGCGGCACGGCGGCGAGGCCGGCGAGTCCGGCGCCGCGCCGCGGCCGCTGCGCTTCGGCGACCGCGTGGCCCTCGAGCGCGCAAGGGGCGGCGGCTTTTTAGCCGAGGGCGCCGACGCGTCCGACGCGTCGCCGGAGTGCCTGGGCCTGACCTTCGTCGACGGCGCCGCGCCCGGCGGTCGGGCGACCTTCTCGCTGGCGCCCGTCTACCGGTCGCAGCGCGACGGCGCGGCCGTCACCGACGGCGAGGAGGTGCTCCTCGTGTCGCGGGGCAAGTTCCGCCTCTCCGCCGAGGCCGTGGGCCTCCCCGGCGGCGGCGTCGCGCGCGAGGCCGTGCTGCGCCCCCAGGGCGCGCGGCCGCGGCCCCTCGACGGCACGCGGCTCGCGCTCGTGCCGCCGGCGCCGCGCGCCGCCGAGGGCCTCCGCTTCCGCGACGGCCAAGCGCTGGCCCTCTTCCACGAGGAGCACGCCCAGTTCCTCTCCGCGGACCCGCGCGGCCCGCTCCGGGCCCTGCGGCGCACGTTCCTCGGCGGCGCGGAGCCGTGCGGCGACTACGGCAGGCCGCTGCTCCCCGCGTGGAAATCGACCGCCGGTTCGGGACGTCCCGACCAAACTTTGAAATTGCCGACGGCCGCGGACCTGCGGCGCATGTACATGCAGCTCTTCTTCAACTTCGTCGTGGCGCTCCTGCTCCTCAACATGGTCGCGGGCATCATCATCGACACCTTCAGCCAGCTGAGCCAGGAGAGCCTCGAGGCGTCGAAGATCAAGATGAACGAGTGCTTCACAGGGCAGCACAAGAGAGCGAAATTCCCAACTTCAAAGGCTCCGATCTCGGCCATTTTCCACTCGTTTTGGCTGATTTTTGGACGAGCGATCATCTCTCGGAACGGTCTCGAAGCGTGGATGTTTTTTCCGTAACGCGCGCGCGCGGAACACTCACGTTGAAGCGACGTTGAATCACCCTTGTGCTGCCCAGGTGCTTCACGACGGGCCTCCACCGGTCGCAGTTCGAGACGCTCAAGGAGGTCGACTTCGACCTCGACCACAAGCCCCGCTGCGCCATGCTCAACTACGTCCACTTCATCGGCTACGTCATGCACAAGGACTGCGTCAACGACTCGCCGCTCGAGCGCGCCGTCCGCGACAAGCTCCGCGACGGCGACGCGTCCTGGATCCCGACGCTCACGTGGTTCTCCCTCGAGAACCACGGCCAGGCCGAGCGCGAGCAGGTCGGCGAGGACGAGCAGGTCCGCGCGCTCATCGCGGACGTCGCCGCGCGGAGCGACGCGCGCCTCGACGCGCTCGCCGCCGCCGTCGCGGACCTCGCGCGCGGCGCGGCGCGCGACCGCGCGCCCACGGCCGACGACGCGCGCCCGCCCTAGGAAGGGGAGTTTATACGGCCACGGCGGACTTCTGCATGGCCGGCGGCAGGTCCCGGAGCGCCTCGAGCATCTCGCCGACGCGCTCCTTGTTCTTGCCGACGTCGGAGTAGCCGTAGACGGACCCGCTGTGGAGCACGAGCGTGCTCGTCCGCTCCGTGAGCTCGACGAACCGCACGTTCAGGACGTCGGGGAAGCGCAGCAGCGGCGTGCGCTCGACGTAAACATGGCGCCGCGTCGCCTCGTCGCTCAGCGTCGGCCGCGCGTACACGTCGCCGAGCACGGGCGCGCGGCCCGCGAGCATGGCCTCGAACGCGGCCTTGAGATCGGCGGCCGGCACGGGAAACACCGGCGCGACCTCGCGCTTCGCGTCGTCGTCGAACTTCGGCGCCTCGTCCGCCGGCGCCGCGAGGTACTCGTTCGGGGACGTTCGCGGGGCGAGCGTGTCAAAGTCCAGCAGGCCGCCGGCGCCGGGCAGGCCGCGCCCGTAGATGGGAGCGCCCATCACGCCGAGGTACAGCGTCGGACCCATCAGAAGCGGCGACAGGAATGCGGTCGTCTTCTTTTTGGCGGCGACGAAGGGATTCAGCGCCATCGCCGGGAGGACGAGCGCGAGCACCGAGAAGCGGCGCCGCATCGTTGCCATCGCAGCACAGGCTGAGCCAGCTCACTGCACTGCGCCTTCAAGGACAGAGACTTTTTGTCCACACAGGCCAGCTCGCCGCCAGCGCAGCCGCAATGTGCACGCTCGCGCGCCTCCTCGCCGTCGCCTCCACCGCCGCGGCCCTGAGCACCCTGCGCTCGACCGGGCCGAAGAAGGTCGCCATCCTCGGCGGGTCGGGCTACGTGGGCCGCGAGGTCGCCAAGCGCTTCGTCACGCGCGGCTGGGAGGTGGCGTCGCTGTCGCGGCGCGGCGAGAACCCGGACGCGGGCGACGCGGAGCTCTCCTGCGTGGCCTGGACGGCGGGCGACGCGACGGACGCGGCCGCCGTGCGGTCCTTCGTCGGCGACGCGGACGCCGTCGTCCACTGCGTGGGCCTGCTCTTCGACGTCGATTCGGGCCTCGCGAACCTGTCGCCCGTCGTCTCCGGCTCGAACTCGCAGCCCGGCGAGACGTCGACCTACGACCGCATCACGCGCCTCACGGCCTTCAACGCCGTCGACGCGGCGGCGGACCGCCTCCGGCTGCCCTTCGCGCCGCGGACGCCGTTCGCGTTCGTGTCCTGCGCGGAGGCGGGCTGGCCCGACGTCAAGTGGGGCGACGTCGTCGAGGCGCGCGCCGCGCCCGAGTGGCTCCGGCGCTACCTCGCGGCGAAGCGCCTCGTCGAGGCGAAGCTCGGCGAGAGGAGCGACAAGATCCGGCCCGTGATCTTCCGGCCGTCGCTCATCTGGTCCTGGGACAAGCTCGACGTCCTGCCCATCATCCCCGTCTTCAACCTCGCCTCGGCCCTTGGCGTGCCCTTCGTGGACCGCACGATCCGCGTCGGGGCCCTCGCGGACGCCATCGTCGAGGGCGTCTGCGCGGGCGACACGGAGGGCGTCCAGCGCTTCGCGGCCATGGACGAGCTCTCCGACGCCTACGCCCGCAACAGCGCCTAGGGCCCGCTAAGGCCCGTTCAACGCGCGGCGCGACCCGGCTAGCGGGTGACGTGTCCCGCCGCGGCCGGCGGGGATGCCATAAACACACACACTTCAATTTATTCTTCAATGAGAATTACCTTTGATTTAAGGTATTTTCAACGCGCCGGATGGGCACGCGGCATTCCTCTCTGTGATCATCATGAGCGGGCTTAGCGCCGTCCGCGGACTCAACGATGTTGGGGCGGCACAGATTGCGGAGCTCCTCGAGGTGGCGCTGACGAGGCAGACCGCGGCGCTCGAGGCGGTGATGGAGGCGAAGCTCGAGGCGAAGCTGGCCGCCCTCGAGACGAGGATCGGCAGCCGGCTCGCGGCGCTGGAAGCCAAGGCGCCGAACGCGCCGATGACCGACGCGCCGCTGGACCTGTCGATGCTGCCGGAGTCGCTTCGCGCCTTTGAGATCCTCGGCGACGCGGCGGAGATCAGAGACGCCGCCGCGACGGTCGACGCCGTCGGGCTGGAGCGCACCATCATGTTGGCCCCCCGGGACGCCGCCGCCGTCGAAGCCCTCGGGACGTTCGCGACGGCACTCGCCGAGGCGTACGACGCGACGATCGCGGCGCGGCTGAGGGAAAAGGGCCTCTTCGACCGCTGTTTCCGCGCGATCAAGGCCGGCGCCGAGGCCTTCGACGACGTATATGGCGCCGTGTGGAAGATGATCCTCGACGCCGAGTCGGCGACCAAGGCGGCCTACGTCGCCGACGTCGCCGCCGTCGTCGCGCGGCCGCGCGCGGCCGCGGGAGCGAAGCCCAGGCAGGCGACGGCCGAGATCGCGGCGCTCTACCGCGACGCGGCGGTGGCGCGACCGGTCTTCAACCGCGTCGTCGCCGACGTGGTCGCGGCGTTGCCCTGCGCCGGCGCCGAACTCTCCATCCCGGACGCGCTCAAGCGGTCGCAGCGCGTCGTCGAGAAAGCCGCGCTCAAGCGAGACGGCAAGGGCGACGTCTCCAGTGTCCTCGACGTCGTCCGCGCGATGATTGTGGTGAAGAAGCTCGACCACGCCCGCCTCGCGCTCCTCGGGCTCGCCGCGCGCGACGACGCCCTCGAGATTGTCCGCGTCAAGGAGCGCTTCTTCGACGCGCCGAGCCGCGGCGGCTGGCGCGACCTCATGGTCAACGTCCGCGTCTCCGTCGACGGCGTCGCCCACGTCTGCGAGATCCAAATCGTCCACGAGATGCTCCTCACGGCGCGCAAGGGCTTGCCGGGCCACGACGTCTACGCTCGCGTCCGCAACGCCACGGAGCTTCTGGAGTCTAAGCTCGGCGCCGACGTGGCGGGCGACGCTCTCAGCCTCGCGTTCCTTCACGAGGCGACGGGCGGCGGCCACGCCGTCGGCGTCGAAGGCGCACGTTCGAGCTGGGACAAGTCATATACTGACTACTCAAATTACTCTCCCATGCATCACAGTCACAAGAGCGGCCACCAAGTATTCCTCGGCGACAAGGGCTGGCTCTCGGACGCGCCACCCGGCGAGTGGCTCGGCGTGACCGCCGACCCGGTCACGGGACGCGTGGTCGGGCTGGAACTTCGGGATAAGGGTCTGAAGAATTCGTTCCCGTCCGACGTCGCCAAGCTCGACAAGCTGGAATCGATCGACCTCCGAACCAACCCCGACCTCGCGGCCGAGCTCCAAGAAGGCTTGCGGCTCCTGGATCTCCTCGACATGACGGGCCAGATGCATTTCACCGACAAGGAGCGCACTCAGCGCTTCCTTCATTTCATCGCGTTGTCCGACGACGAGCGCAGCCGAATCGTCGAAGACGCACGGGAGGTCGACAAGTTTGGACCCGACGCGCACGTACTGCGGGCGCTCGTTTCGTCCTGCGGTGGAACTCAGAAAGCATCACAGCGGCGCTGGTTCGACAAAGAGGAGGACGTCAGAAAATGGTGCGGCGTCGAGCTCGACGACGCCAAACGTCTTGTCAGTCTCAATATTAAGGAAGCTGGCCTCACGAGTATCACCGCGCTGCCCGAGCGGCTCGGCAACTGCGCGGCGCTGACGACGCTGGACCTGGGCGGCTGCTCGAGCCTCACCACGGCTGCGCTCGAGCGGCTCGGCGACTGCGCGGCGCTGACGACGCTGGGCTGGTGCCCGAGCCTCACCGCGCTGCCCGAGCGGCTCGGCGACTGCGCGGCGCTGACGTCGCTGAACCTGCACGAGTGCTCGAGCCTCACCACAGCTGCGCTCGAGCGGCTCGGCGACTGCGCGGCGCTGACGACGCTGGACCTGCGCGAATGCAAGAGCCTCACCGCGCTGCCCGAGCGGCTCGGCGACTGCGCGGCGCTGACGTCGCTGAACCTGGAGGAGTGCCGGAGCCTCACCGCGCTGCCCGAGCGGCTCGGCGACTGCGCGGCGCTGACGTCGCTGAACCTGCACGAGTGCTCGAGCCTCACCGCGCTGCCCGAGCGGCTCGGCGACTGCGCGGCGCTGACGACGCTGAACCTGGAGAACTGCATGAGCCTCACCGCGGTGCCCGAGCGGCTCGGCGACTGCGCGGCGCTGACGACGCTGAACCTGAGCGGCTGCCGGAACCTCACCGCGCTGTCCGAGCGGCTCGGCGACTGCGCGGCGCTGACGACGCTGAACCTGAGCTGGTGCTGGAGACTCACCGCGCTGCCTGATCTGTCGCAGTTGACCAAGCTCCAAATTACCTCTGTGCCGAAGCATCTTTCTGTGTGGACGGCGCATGGGCACCAGAGGTACAACTTAATGGATGATTTCTTTCCCTCCACTTCGACGCATATCGACATGGAAGCCTTTCAGGGCGCTGCTTTGCCCGAGCGGCTCGGCGACTGCGCGGCGCTGATGTCGCTGGACCTGCGCTACTGCAGGAGCCTCACCGCGCTGCCCGAGCGGCTCGGCGACTGCGCGGCGCTGACGACGCTGGACCTGCGCGACTGCTCGAGCCTCACCGCGCTGCCCGAGCGGCTCGGCGACTGCGCGGCGCTGACGTCGCTGAACCTGTGGTGCTGCTCGAGCCTCACCGCGCTGCCCGAGCGGCTCGGCGACTGCGCGGCGCTGACGACGCTGCACCTGGACCGCTGCTCGAGCCTCACCGCGCTGCCCGAGCGGCTCGGCGACTGCGCGGCGCTGACGACGCTGCACCTGGACCGCTGCTCGAGCCTCACCGCGCTGCCCGAGCGGCTCGGCGACTGCGCGGCGCTGACGACGCTGCACCTGTACGGCTGCAAGAGCCTCACCGCGCTGCCCGAGCGGCTCGGCGACTGCGCGGCGCTGACGTCGCTGGACCTGCACGAGTGCTCGAGCCTCACCGCGCTGCCCGAGCGGCTCGGCGACCGCGCGGCGCTGACGACGCTGGACCTGCGCGAATGCTCGAGCCTCACCACGGCTGCACTCGAGCGGCTCGGCGACTGCGCGGCGCTGACGTCGCTGGACCTGTACGAATGCTCGAGCCTCACCGCGGCTGCACTCGAGCGGCTCGGCAACTGCGCGGCGCTGACGACGCTGAACCTGGGCCGGAGCCTCACCACGGCTGCACTCGAGCGGCTCGGCGACTGCGCGGCGCTGACGACGCTGGACCTGCGCGGCTGCTTGAGCCTCACCACGCTGCCCAAGCGGCTCGGCGACTGCGCGGCGCTGACGACGCTGTACCTGGGCAACTGCTCGAGCCTCGCCGCGCTGCCCGAGCGGCTCGGCGACTGCGCGGCGCTGACGTCGCTGAACCTGGGCTACTGCGAGAGCCTCACCGCGCTGCCCGAGCGGCTCGGCGACTGCGCGGCGCTGACGAGGTTGGACCTGGGCTACTGCGAGAGCCTCACCGCGCTGCCCGAGCGGCTCGGCGACTGCGCGGCGCTGACGAGGTTGGACCTGCAGGTCTGCTCGAGCCTCACCGCGCTGCCCGAGCGGCTCGGCGACTGCGCGGCGCTGACGTCGCTGAACCTGGAGGAGTGCCGGAGCCTCACCGCGCTGCCCGAGCGGCTCGGCGACTGCGCGGCGCTGACGACGCTGAACCTGCACAACTGCAGGTTCCTCGCCGCGCTGCCCGAGCGGCTCCGTTCTTTAGAGCACTTGCAAATTGAAAGATGACCAAAAATCCGCCAAGGCGAACAAGGAGGGTAATATATGCTAACACCTCCAGCGCCTCGAGGGAGAAGCGGTTCGGATCGAAGTCGCTCGCGTTCTCGATGCGCGCGACGGCCATGAAGTCGCCGACGGCCGCGCCGGCGGCGACGGTGTGCTGCTCGACGCGCCGCTCGAAGTGGTCCAGGTAGGCCTCGTAGGTGTCGAAGAAGGATCCGGAGTGGCCCGGCGCGGTCGCCGCCGTCGGCCGGTGGGCGGTACCCGATGACTGCGCCTCCTCCCGCCGGCGGCCCCCGCGACACGGCGCCCCCTCTAGGCCCGGCTTAGGTCGGCGTAGGACCCGGCCTGGTGCTCGAAGCCCGGCGGGCGGTCGCCCTTGATGCACCAGGCGACGTGCGACTTGCGCTTCTCCGCGAAGTCGAAGTCCGCGTACTTCGCGTAGTCCGCGATGGGCCGCGCGGTGCCGAGGCCGTAGACGTCGAGGTGGCCCACGAGCGTCGCCGCCTTGAGCGAGGCCGCGTCGGCGTCCTCCGGGTAGCCGACCATGTGCTTGACGCGCGGCAGCACGAACTGCTGGAGCGAGTTGTGCGTGCCCGCGCCGATGGACCGCTGGAGCGCGCCCCAGAACTTGGGCTTCTGGGGCCGCAGGTAGGCGTGGGCGACGACGGACCGCGGCGGGCAGAAGATGTCCCAGCCCGACGTCCAGGCCCGCGCGGAGAAGTCGAGCTCCTCGCCCATGAACACGAAGGGCAGGTAGGGGTCGAAGGGCACCTCCTGGACGAATTTCGCGGACGCGAAGACGAAGCCCGCGCCGATGTAGGGCGCGAAGCGCGGCACCTTGCGGCAGTCGGGCTGCCGCGGCCCCACGGTGCAGCCCTCGGGCGACGTCTCCTTGATGGGGTAGCGCTGCATCGCCCCGAGGCGGACGATGTTGTACTCGGCGAAGGACGCGTCGCACATGCAGGGCCCGACGGCGCCCTCCCAGGCGTGCTTGCCGGAGCGCGGGAGCTCGGGCTTCTGGGGGCCCGACGGCGGGTAGTGGCTGAAGATGGGCTTTTTCGCGGGCGCGAGGCCGTAGTCCTCCTTGATCATGTCGTCCCAGCCCCTGGCGAAGGTCGTGTGCGCGTCGACCTGCATGTAGTAGGTCTCGCCCTGCCAGAGCAGCGACCCGAGGTAGCGGCCGAACACCGGGCCGAAGGTCTCGGACTCGTTGAACTTGACGACGCGGACCTGGCCGCCGCCGCACGCGGGACCGTAGGCCGTCGGCCGCGCGCAGTAATTTTCTAAACAGTCGACGTCGGGCCCCATCTCGTGGACCTTCATGTCCTCGGGCATGACCGCCGTCTTGCAGCCGTACGCCGCGTGCTGCCCCGCGTCGCAGTTCTGCTGCACCAGCCCCACGAACGCGAGGTCCGGCCGCGCGGCCGTCGCGAAGAGGTTGTCGAGCGTGTCGGGGCAGACCTCGTCCCGGAAACTCGAGATGGACACGAAGATGGACCCGTCTGCCGCGCACGGGCACGTCCGCGGCGCGGCGAAGCTCGTGGAACTCGGACCCCGGCGCGAGCGCGGCGTCCACCGCGCCGTAGAACGTCTCCCAGACGACCTTGTCCGACGCGCGGTGCGGGTCGTTGCGCAGGCCGAAGCCCGCGGGCCGGATCGACGCGAACGCGCCGTGGACGCGCCGCACGAGCGCCGTCACGAACGCCTCGCGCGACGACGGCCGCGGCGCCGCGGCGCCGCGCGGCGGCGCCGCGGGCTTCGGCGCCGCGCGCTCCATGCGGAACGGCGCCGCGGCGCGACCGGGCGCCGCGGCCGCCGGCTCCGGCCGCCGGAGCACGGGCTTCGGCGGCTCCGGCGGCGGCGGCGGCCGGTACTCGTACTCGATGGCGCGTTTCGGTCGCCGCGCGAAGGCCTCGGACGTCGCGACGGCGTCGTCGACGACCTCCTGCGCCTGGTGCTGCGTCAGGAGCTGGGCGATGTACGCGAACTGGAGGCAGGCCACGAAGACGCCGACGTAGAGCAGCCAGCGCATGGTCGTCGAGCGATGCGCGAGGCGCGATCGGTCGGCCCTGGCCGGCGGCGACGACTCGGCGCCGCTCTACAACGACGCGCTGCAGCAGCGCGGCGGCGACAACGCGGGCGCAATCGCTCGAGCTCCGGGCCGTCGTCGCCGTGGAGGTCGCGCAAGAGACTGGCCACCTCGCGATCGTGCAAATTTCTGCAGCGTCGACTCAGTGACTTCATCATGCAGAGCGGTTGAAGCCCGCGGCGATGCAACTTGCCATGCACGTGTTACCGCTTCGCGCCCGGGCGGCTCTTGAAGAGCTTGTGGCGCTTGGCCTTGGCCTGGGGCGCGCCGCCCTTGCCGAAGTCGAGGTAGCGGACGCCCGCGTCGCCGCCCGAGATCTTGGCGAGGGACACCTGCGTGCGCTTCGCCGGCGGCGGCGCGCGGAGGTCGTCCTTCGCGGCCTTGGTCAGGGCCTTCTCCTCGGCCTCCTCCTCCTTGAGGTAGTCCGCGCAGAGCACGGCGTTCAACAAATCGAGCTCCTTCGCGCGCGTGTCGAGCGCGGACGTCGCGGGCTCCGGCAGATCCGTGACGACTTTGAACGTGTAGCCCTGGTCCACGAGGTACTGCTGGCGCTTCGCGCTGTAGAACATCTCCGCCGTGTCCGTGGACACCAACGTGTAGAAGAAGGCGTTGAAGCCGTCGCCGTCGGCGGAAGGCTTCGCGCGGAGGATGCGCCCGAGCCGCTGCGCCTCCTGCCTGCGCGACCCGAAGTGCGACGACACCTGGACGATGACGTTCGCCTCCGGGAGGTCGATGGCGACGTCGCCGACTTTCGAGAGGCAGATCGTGTTCACGAGGGAGTTGAAGCGGAAGGACCCGAGCACGGCCTGGCGCTCCGCTTCCTTTGTCGCGCCGTAGATCGCGGGCCGCCCGAGCGCCGTCGCGTACTTTAACAGCGCGAAGACGTCGTCGGAGAAGACGATGACCTTGTCGCCGCGCTGCTCGTGGTAGTGCACGAGGTACTCGCACGCGCGGAACTTGTTCGGGTTCATGACGTACAGCAACCGGCGGCATCGCGCGTCGCCGCCCGCGCGCGGCTTCGCCTCCTCCGGCGCGCCCTCGCCCAGGTCGCCGCCCGACGCGACCTGGCCGCAGCCGCCGTGGCGCAGATACTCGCGGTAGAAGGGCCCGGCCATGGGGCACCAGACCTCGACGCACTGCACGTTCGCCAAATGCCCGTTCTTCGTCAGGTCCATCCAGTTCGCCTCGTAGAGCTTCGGCCCGATCAAAAAGTTCAGATCCGTGATCAGGTCGTCCTCGCGCACGAGCGTCGCCGTCAGCCCGAGCTTGCAGTGCGCGTTGCACACCGCGAGGACCCGGCGGAACGTCTGCGCCGGCACGACGTGGACCTCGTCGAGGAGCATCAAACCCCACTCGCGCGCCTTGACGGCCTCGATGAGGCGCTCGCCATCCAAGGACCGCTGGCCCCCGAAGCTCACCATGTGGTACGTCGTGATGAGCACGCCGCACTCGGGGTGCAGGTCCTCCTTGACCTCCGCCGTGAACAGCGAGATCCGCGCGGGGTCCAGCGACGTCCAGAGCGCGAACTGGGCCTTCCACTGGGCCACGGCCGTCGCGTTCGTGCACAGCACGAGCGTCGACCGCTTCACCGTCGCCGCCGCGACGATCGCCGTCAGCGTCTTGCCCGCGCCGCACGGCAACACGATGATGCCGCTCCGCGCGCGGCCGTTGCCGAACATCTTCGACAGCGACTTCTCCTGGTAGGAGCGGATCTTCGTGGAAGGTCTCAAATCCACGGGCAGCACCGCGTTGTCCAGATCGTGGCGGAAGTCGTACTCCTCGGCCAGCGGGAAGTCCAAATCGTTCGCGGCGAACTTCTTCACGTCCTGCGCCGTCCCGACTTTGAGCTTGAAGGAGTAGGTGCGCAGCGTCGCGCCCGGCGCCGCCGCGCCGTCGTCCTCGGCGCCCTCGTCGTCGCTGCCGTCGAGCTCCGCCGCCAACTCCAGATACGCGCGATTCGCCGCGAGCTCCGCCGCGACCTCGCCCGCGCGGAACTCCTCGTCGTCGCCGTCCTCGCTGGCGTCCCGCGCGCCGCGGATGCCCGCGTGCTCCAACAACGTCCGCAGCGCCGCCGCGTCGGACGACTCGACGTGGTGCCGGTTGCCGCGCAACACCAGCTTCGCGCGCCCAAAGTTCTTCGTGCAGTCCATGACATAAGCCCGGATGCGCGCCGGCAGTTTCACCTTGGACAGTTTGTCGAGCACGTCGCAGATGCTCGCGGGCGCGATGTCGACGGACACGGCCGCGTACAAACTGTAGGGCGTGAGCCGGTATTCGTGCACGTGCTCCGGCCGCGCGACGGGCTCCGCGATGGCGACCAGAAAATCGTAGGCCGGCCCGTACAAGGCGCTCCGAGCCTCGAGGAAGATGGACCCGTCGGGGCAGGCCCAGAGCGGCCGGTTCGCGTGGTCCGGCTTGAGCTCGAGATCGCTAAAGTCCTTGAGGCGGCCGTCCTCGCCGCCGTCGAGGTCGCCGCGCCCGCCCTCGGCCTGGAGCGCCTCGAAGCGCTCCTTCGCGCGCGCGGCCACGGCCGACGCCATCGCGGGGTCGGGAGGGCGACCGGGCGCGCGGGCGGGCAGAGCGGAGTGCACTGCTCAGCTCCTCTGGCGCTTCACCAAGTGCTTCACCTTCCCTTCACCCGGCGGCCGCTCTCCGCGCCGCGGTGACCCCCCCCGGGCGAGATCGCTAGTGTACTCAGGTTCCGGCTTCGCGCGTCGATGCGCGCCTGGGCGCAGCCGCCTTCCTCCCAGAGGCACTGGTCGGCCTCGAAGTTCCGCGTCATCGAGAGGACTACATCGACCGGACGCCGCGCCACGCCGCGCTCTGGGACTATCTCGGCCTCTCGGAGCCCGCGCCCCACGACATCCACCTCTCGAGCAAGAAGGGCGCGCGGCGTCGACGGCCGGCGAACGCGCGGCAGAGCCCGAAAGACCTCCCTTTTACGCGCCCGCCGGCTCGCCGCCCCCGCCCGCGCGCGGCGTCGCCGGGTCGTCGGGCCCGCAGGCGAGCGTCCAGACGAGGTCCGCGACGGACGTGTCCTTCGCCGGCGCGTCGCCCGCGTCGGCCGCCGCGTCGGCCGCGTCGGCCGCGTCGGCCGCGTCGGCCGCGCCCTCCGCGCGGTCGTGGCGGTGGCTGTGCCGATGGCTGTGCCGATGGCTGTGGCGGTGGCTGGGGCGGCGGTGATGGTGCGCGTCGTCGCCGTCGCCGTCGCCGTCGCCGTGGTGGCTGCGCCGATGGCTGTGCCGGTGGCTTTGGCGAGGATGGCGGCCCGCCGGCGCCTCGTCGCCGTCCTTGACCTCCTGGGCGACCGCCTCGTCGCCGTCCTTGACCTCCTGGGCGACCGGGGGCGCCTCGTCGGCGAAGGTCGCGGGGCGCTTTTGGCCGCCGTCGCGTTCGCCGCCGCCCGCGGCGCCCGCGGCGTAGCAGCAGGCCGCGGCGCCGAGCGCCGCGGCCGCGGCCGCGGGGTCGATCTCGGCCTCGAGGCAGAACTCGGCGACGGCCTCCAGGGGCCCCGCGACGATGGCCAGCGCCGTCATGAGCTTGCCGAAGCGCTCGGGCGACCAGCCCGCGCGGACGTCGTCGTCCTCCTACGGTCGGTTTTACTTTCAAAAACGCCGTCGTCGGGTCAGAAGACGCCGCGCCGCGCGATGTACGTCTCCGCGTAGAGCATGATCGTCAGGAAGAGCTGGAGGAAGATCATCGCGGACATGGCCGTCGAAAAACGGTTCGTCGCGCCGTCGACGTACCTGCGCGGCGCCCGTTCCGTCCGCGGCGCGGCGCGCCGCGACGCCGCCGAAAGCGGACGGCTGGAGGTACGCGTAGACGACGGTGAACGTGAGGCTCAGCATCGCCGCGAGGTAGAGCTTGCCGATGGAGTCGTCGTCGTACAAGACCATGAAACCCGTGAGGCAGATGCGCCGCAGGCACTCGACGCACTCGAAGAACCAGACCCGCGGCTCGTACTCGTCGTAGAGGAACCTGCGCGGCGCTCCGCGTCGGGGGGCGCGCGCGCGGCGGGGGACGCGGGCGCGGACGCGAGGTGCTTGCATTCCGGGTCGACGGCCCGGTGCGCCGTGACGCACTCCTGGCCGAGGTTGAAGAGGCAGAGCTGGGCCTGCTTCTGCGCGCCCTCGGGAAAGTCCCGGATGGCGTCGCGGACGTGGACGTACTCGACGGCCGCGCGGTGCACCGCGAGCCGCGACTGGTAGAGCCGCGCCGCCGCGGTCTTCTCGCGCCGCGAGAGCGGCGCGGTCCCCGACGGCGTGCTCGACGAGTAGCGCCGCCGGAAGGAGCGCTCGCTGTCCGTCGTGCAGGGCTCCAGCGACGCCTCGAGCGACACCTCGACCTCGAGGACGCCGTCGCCGCCCGCGAGGATCCGGTCGACGAAGTGCGCGTGGTCCCGCGTGACGCTGATCTTGTCCCGGACCGCCAAGAGCGCGACGAAGAAGCATAACGGGACGCCGACGGGGTAGATGAAAATGCAAAAGACCGCGTAGATCGCGTGCCACTTGTATCGCGCCGTCGCGCAGTCCACCGAGTAGTCCGCCGCGAGCCACTCGCCGCCCTCGAAGGGCGAGCCGTCCGGCTCGTCGGCGTAGTCGTCGTCGCAGAAGAGGCTCGCCAGCACGACGCCCGACACCGTCGTGTAGGAGAGGTGGGCCACGAGCAGGCCGGCGAGCGCGAACGCCGGCTTCGCCTCGGGCCCGCATTTGCGCTCCGCGACCCGGTAGGCCACGAAGAGGACGCCGAGGACGACGACGGGCACGACCGTGAACTTCTGCAGCTTCGTCAGGTAGTCCCACTCCTTGTAGGAGCAGTCGAGGGACTCGGAGAAAAACGCCGTCGGGTCGAAGCCGAGCACGTCGAGGCTCCGCGCGAACTCGCCGAAGAGCCGCGGGTACGTGACGGACGCGAAGGCCTCGGAGAAGCTCCCGACGATCTGGAACGTGACCACCGCGATCTTCAACTTCGGCACGAGCAGCGGGAGCCACTTCTCGTTGAGCGTCGCGAACATCTCGCTGTCGACGACGACGTGGCCGTAGCGCCGCCAGAGCCCGTAGAGCACGAGCGCCAAGAACACGATGCCGAGCGCGACGCCCGCGAGCGCGTAGGAGGTGTCGTCGATGGACGCGTCGGACGCGCAGGCGCGGCACTTGAGCGAGGCCTCTTCGAGGTACGTGCCGCGCTCGCATAACGCGCAGCGCGGGCCCGCGTGGCGGTGCGCGCACTGCGGCGACGGCGACCGCGCCGTCTCGAGGGGCGCGAAGTCCCAGAGGTCGACGTCCGCCGCGCAGAAGTCGTCGCTCGCGCACTTGAGCACGTTCAGCGAGTCCCCGGCGCCGCGCCAGTAGCCGCGGTCGGGCACGAGGCCGTGGCCGCCGGCGCAGGCCGCGTTGTCCGGGCAGCGCGCGCAGGACGTCGTCGGCTCGTAGGACACGGACCCCGCGGGGCAGGCCTGGCAGGAGACCTTGCCCGCGGAGTCCTCGTAGAGGTACTCGCCCGCGACGCAGTTTCGGAGCGCGACGACCGTCTCCGCCTCGAAGTCGCCGCAGCAGTCCGTCGAGAGCGACGCCCGCAGCCGCACCTCGGCGCCCGGCGCGCAGTAGATCGCCAGGTCCTCGAAGGTCGCGAGGCCCGCGGCGAAGTCGGCCTTGGTGTCGCCGGAGAGGTCCGGTGAGCAGGTCGACCCGTTCGCGCCGACGGCCTCGACGATGGTCAGCGCGCCCGAGAAGGTCTTCACCGTAGACCCGTAGGCGTCCTTGACCATGACCGTGAGGCCCGTCGCGTTTAAAGCCTCGCCGCTCGCCTCGCCGGCGTAGTAGGCCCGCTGGAACTTCAACGACCGCGGGCCCGTCGCGACGTCCTTCCCGAAGAGCGCGCTGTTGCCCAGCGTCGACGAGCGCTTGTTGGTCCGGAGCGTGTTGTAGGCCGGCGGCGCGCGGGGCTCGACCGTCGCGTCGTAGTGGAAGTAGAAGCCCCCTCCTCCGCCGTGCGCGGCCGCGTTGCCGACGACCGCGTCGCCCGCGGCGTCCAAGATGATCGTCGAGTTGGAAGCATTGATACCGCCGCCGTCGCCGGCGACGGCGGCGTTGCGCCGAATGATCGTGCCGCCGCGGCTCTCGAAGCGCGCGCCGAGCGTCGCGACGACGCCGCCGCCGTCGCCCGCGGCCTCGTTGCCCTCGACGACCGTGTCGCGCGCCGTGACGACCGTGGCCTGAACGAGCGCGAGCGCGCCGCCGTTGCCGGTGGCGGCCCGATTCCCGCTCAGGAGGCAGTCCCGCAGGTCGACGGCCGCGTCGACGACGCGCAGCGCGCCGCCGTCGGACGTCGTCGCGCTGTTGTTCAGGAAGCGGCTCCCGGTAAACGACGCGACGGCGCCGTCGCTGACGCCGACGGCCGGGCCGCCCGTGTTATAGGAGAAGGTGGCGTTGTAAAAGTCGACGGCGCTGTCCAATATGTCCAAAACCATCGTCCCGGAGCCGCCGGCGAACCGCGTCGCCCGGAAGGCCGCGGCCGAGGACCAGACGAGCGCCGCCGCCGCGCCCGCCGCGACGTCGACGATCTCCGAGTCGACGACGGTCGCCGCGGCGACGCCCGTCGCCTTGAGGACGGCGCCCGCGGTGGCCGCGACGGTCCCGTTCCAGGTCGTGTTCGCGACATCGAGGCGGTCCGCCGCGTTGAGCGACAGGACGCAGCAGCCGACGGCGCTGCGCTCGAACGCCGAGTCGGAGACGTCCACCGTCGCCCCGGACACGGCGTAGACGACGCCGTCGGGCACGACGTCGCCGACGCTCCGGACGCCCGCCAGGGACAGGGCCGCGGAGCGGTCCGCGTAGGCGAGCGCGCCGCAGAGCAGCGCCTCGTTGCGCCGCGAGACGACGCGGCTCAGCGCGCAGGTGGCGCCGACGGCGCAGTAGAGCACGCCGCCGTGGAGCGCGGCGCCGTCGGAGAACGCGACGCCCGCCACGGAGACCGTCGAGAAGTCGAAGGCGTAGACGCCCGCGCCCGCGTCCGCGGCGCTCGCCGCGACCGAGGTCGTGCCGCCGCCGTCGATGGCCCCAAAGGCCTCGACGTACGCGAAGCCGCCCTCGACGCCGCGGCCGTTGCGCGCCGCGGACGTCTCGCGCAGCGACAGGGCCGCGTCCGTGAGATAAAAGGCGCCGCCGGAGTATAACGCGACGTTTCCGTCGACGACGGATCCGTTGAGCATGAAAGACGTGCCGTCGTCGAGGAACGCGGCGCCCCCATGCACCGCGCCGTTGCCCGAGAAGTTCGCGTTCGTCGCGACAAACGTCGCGGCGCCCGCTGCGGAATCGTCGTAGGAGGGGCACAGGGACAGCGCGCCGCCCTCGTCGGCGACGTTGCCGACGAAGACCACGTCGTCCGCGACGCAGGTCCCGCCCTCGAGGACCGCGGCGCCGCCGCGGCCGTACGGCGCCGAGCAGTCGACCACGCGCGCGCGCGCGAGCGCGAGGTCGACGCCCGCGGCGAAGACGGCGCCGCCGGAGCCCGCGCTGCAGTTCTCGACGGCCACGTCGACGAGCGCCGCGTCGACCGCCGCGATGCCGTTGGCGAACGCGTCGAGCGCGACCGCGCCGCCGCCGCCGCCCGCGGCGCCGTCGCGGACGGCGGCGTCCGCGAGCCGCGCGTACGCGCGCCCCCAGTTGGCGCACCACCACCAGGGCGCCGCGTACAAGAAGCCGCCGTCGCCGCCCGCGACGTTCCGCTCCGCGGCGACGCGGCCGAGCGCGAGCCCGCAGCCGCTGCTGTAGATCGCGCCGCCGGACTCGCTCGCCGCGTTGCCGGAAAAGGCGAGGGGCGCGCCGGCGGCGTAGCGCGCGTCCGCGGGGCTCGGCGGCGCCGCGGCGCCGCCCTCGAGCCAGCCGAAGGAGTGGTGGTAGACCGCGCCGCCGTTCGCCGCCGCGTTGTCCACGAAGGCGTTGCCCGGGCGCAGGTAGACGTCGAAGGTGTTCCGCAGGTACGCGGCGCCGCCCGCGCTGCCCGCGGCGTTGCGCCGGAAGGTCGAGGAGCCCACGGCGACGGCGCCGCCGGAGAGGCCGCACGCGTAGACCGCGCCGCCCTGCGCCTCCGTGCTCGCCCAGTAGCCGTAGAACCAGAAGGCCGCCGCCGGCGCGGCGTTGTCGACGAAGGTGCAGTTCCAGATGGCCAGGTCCGGGCCGTCGCACGACGTCTCGATCCTGGGCAGGACAAGAGTGCGAAATTCCCAACTTCAAAGGCTCCTAGCTCGGCCATTTTCCACTCGTTTCGGCTGATTTTTGGACGAGCGATCATCTCTTGGAACGGTCTCGAAGCGTGGATGCTTTTTTTAGAACGCGCGCGCGCGGAACACTCACGTTGAAGCGACGTTGAATCACCCTTGTCCTGCCCTGTCTCGAT